TATATAGTATTAAATATTAAATCCTTTCGAATGCTCAAAATGAAAATGATATAAATATATATTATAAAATTAGAGTTTAAATATAAATTATTTTAATTTAATATATAATAATCTTTTTTTCAAAAATTATGGTAATGGTTTTATTATTTGAATTATAGAATGCTTTATTATTATGGACGATTAATTGAAGCCAAACCTACAAAAAGTTGACTATTTAAAACTAATCCTTATTCTCCTCTATAGACTAAATCTTATTATTATGTAGTGTCCTTCTTAATTACTTAAGTAGTAGCTCCTAATCCAAACATTTCTAACGTCGTTGGTTCTTAAAGTGCAACATCATTTTTGAATGGATCCATAAGTATCTGATCATAAAAGTTACCAGAATAAAAAATATTGAATTCATTCCTTTAAACAGCAACTAGGGTGGTAGTGAGGATCATCAAAACTTCGGTAAAGATAGATCTAATTTTAATATATTTTATTTACGTTGGTAAAGGAAATGAAAATATATATTGAATGAGAACCCATAAAATGAGTCCAACTAATAAACCAAAGAAAGCAATAATTTCATATACGTATGTTTACTTATGTTTATCAAACCTATTAACATATCCCAAAAAGAAGCCTTATTTTTTGTATAAATAGTTTACCAGGAAATAGCAAATTGAAAATAGAAACCCATGCACATTTTTTTTTGTAAATATAACGAAAATAAGGAAATTATGCTGAAAGTGGAGTATTGAAGTATCTTAATGCAACACTATCCCATTCATATCTGACTGTTTAACTTAAATAAATAGAACAAAATATATCCACAATCATAATGGGTATAAAAAATTAAAGGGCATCTTTTAATGATGTTATTTTAAATAATTTAATCAAGGATCCTAAAATACATATTGATAAAAGATTACTAACCTAAAAGATATTATTTAATAATACATACAAACCATGGTTAATCATAATAAAGATAAAAAAATATCAGCAAAGTTGAAAAAAATATTGATAAATAATCCCTAACTTTTAAACAATAAATCTTTTCTGCTAAAAATGTAAGAGTATTTCTGAATTTACCAAAAATTTCATTGAAAAAATGGAATGAAGTGAGAGCACAAATAAAATAGATCAATATTTTGATAATTTTCTCTGCTTTTTCTTAATAAGTCATGGAAGTAAATAATGCAATTAATAATAATCCCATATATCCTAAAGCTTAAGGCCAATATAAATAGAATCCTTAAAAAGGAGTTAGATCAACATTTTGGATATTTTGCTCTTAAAATTATCTTCTTTTAGCTGGTGTCACAAAAGCTATTCTAAATGAATAAATTTTCCCGAAAGTTGCTAATATAATAATAACAACAGAATCAAAGGTTATTAAAATAATATTACTCCAATCAAATCTAAAAAATAATATTTATAAATACCTTTTAGGATGATAATTGCTATCGCAAATAAATTAATATTAGAAATTAATACCTTAATAATCTTGAAATCTAATGAAAACATTTTAAATACTCCAGTAATTAGAATTATTAACTTTTCTTTCGCAATTATGAATAAAATCAACAACAATTCTTTAATGAGGTTCTATAATAGGTAAAGTAGATAATTTAGGAGCAACAGGAATATCTTAATAATCTAAATAGTCTGTTATAGTTAATTATCTCAAAAAAATAGTTTTATTTTCATTATTAATGATTGTTAAGGGTAATGTAAATTTCTAACTTGCATGACCATGAATAGATAAAGTATCAATTTTGTATTTAGTTAGATTAGTAGGACAACATGATAATAGTGGAAATTGATCATAATCAAAATATTAACTAAGTTGATTATCTTTATAAACAGTTTAAGGAAGATTTTCTTCAGGGTCTTTTTATTTTGGTATTATTGTACCAAATTAGAGTGATACATCTGGAAATGCAAAGTTTGTTGTGATAATTTGAAATAGTATTATATTAAACATTAAATATAAAGTAAAATCAAATTTCATATTCCTTAATTTTAGTTTAGAGTATTTAGTTTAATTATTTCTAATCTTCCATTTTTTTGACTAATTTTTTAATAATGAGTTTTTATAAGATAATAATCTCATCTTTATCAGGTATTCTCACATTTTCATCTGTGTCTTCAATAGGATTTGATAAACCATATTCTAATTCTGGTAAGACATCAATATGTTATATTTAAAGGCCTCTTAACAATTAAATCATCTATATATAGGTATCATTAATTTTATCTTTTGAACGACAATGTATTTCTGTACCATCTTTTGAAACTTTGAATTTATGTTACAATAATTCATGCTATTTATTGATTTCTTCATATTATTGTTTATATTTATTCATTTATTTAGTCATTAATTTCATATCGTTTAAGATTACTTATTTTTCTTTTTTAATTAAACTTAATATTCCAACAATCCCTTATTATAATTCTGGACCCTATTATTAGATTTCTTCTAATTGTTTTGTTGTCTCTTAAAATAGACTGTCCCTACTTATTTATTTATCTTTAATTTCAAATTCATATTAACTTAATGATCTGTCTATTTAGGTAGAATTTTCAGTTTATTAATGACTACTTAATGAATAACAATGTGCTCTTTTTGGACTTGGACTAGTTTACAATCTTAGATTCTTAAGTTTTGAATGACTTAATTTTGGTTATTTAAAGAGCGGAGAATATGATTATTTTGGTTAATGTTTTTTTGGTTCTAAAATAGAAGTAGTATTCTTTCTATTCTTTTATAAAAAGTCTTGGTATTGTTTAACAAAAGAATTTTAACTAGCTTAAGAGCGAGGCTTAAAATATGGCATATTCATGTAAATAATGATATTAATTAAAATTCATTCCAACAATATTTTCTTTTCTTTTAAATATTTTGTAAATTCTTATTCAATCACTTATCTTTCAGCTCTCATCATACTATATTTGACTAGAAATAGGTAATAATCATCAGCTGTAAAATTAAAATTAAAAAATGCTTATGGATTTTACTTCATTTCATCAATCAAAATGTCCTTTTATATTTAGCTTTCTAATGTTGATTTTGATGTTTACCTTTTTTACGACATATTTCATCAGCTTGATCAATATTTTGAAAGTACTCTAGAGTACATTTTTCTCCAATTCTAGGTAATGTGCATTCAATATCATCATAACTCTTATTCATTAGAAATAATACTAATAATAATAATAATAATAAATAATAATATTGTAGTAGTAGGATGATAATGATATATGTTATTGTACTTATATTTATATATATTATTTGATCAGATTTCTAGACGCTTTTCACTTACATAGATACCATCCAAGAATTGTCTAATATCCTTATTCTTAACAGCACAAGCTTAATGAATAAGAGCACAGGTGAGTGATACATTATTCAAATCATTTCCTTAGAGTGTTAAGACATCTATAATTTGTATATAAAGATTTAAATACTCTTTTCTTCAGCTTCATTTCTGGTGATGGTTACTCCTGGAAGACATTTGATTGTTCTGATAATCTTTTCACCAAGGAAATTCTTGATTTCAATACCTAAACCTTTATCTAAAAGATTAATAATGATTGGAAAGTGAGCATATGCCAAAACCATTTTGAATTTATAACCTGTGGTAACACCTCTAATCATATTTCTAATTTGTGAGGCTACTGAATTCACTTGGCATTTTTGCTTTCTATATGATTACCACATTCTAACACTAACTCTAGATTTAGCAACATTTGTTTTCTTATTAACTTTCTTTGAAACTTAGATGTCCAAAGCAGAATGTCTGAAATTTTTAGATAATTCACCTCTAGGTCCTAAGAAATAATTATATTTGTGTTTAATACCTTTAACTTTCACTATTTTAGATTTCTAAGTGATCTCAATCTTTTCAGGAATTGCCACATGCTCCTCAGTCAGGATGTATTTCATATCTTTTAATTCTTTTAATTAAAAATATTTGAAGTATGAATCCGTATTCTGCTAATTTTGATTGTATTAAGCATATTAATACACTCTTTCCTAATGAATAATCACTTGTAGGCATAGATACTGAAATTGAAAAACTATAATCAGAACTTACTTAACTTTAATCTGAATTATAAGAAGACATACATGAACATGCAGTCATGTAAAATAAAATATGGAGAGATGTTTAAGATGTAGAATAATTATCATAAGGAATTGTTGCAGAAATATAAGAAATTAAATAAAAAGCAGAAAAAAGTGAAGACTTAGTATATTCAATGTGCAAAGATATTAAATCATTAGATATTGCTAAAAGAAATCTTACATTTTCTATTGCAGCACTTAAAAAATTTATTATGATGTTAACAGCTATTGAAAAATTAAAAGAGCATTGTAAAGAAAAAAAATATGCAGAAGTAGCTAATTTATTATCAGCATTTACTGAGTTATCATAATACTTTGTTAAATTTTAAAATATACCATAAATATTAGAAATAACAGGAGAAAAAGAATAGTTGATAAAAGACTTAAAATTATAATTGATAGATGATTTTGTATTATTTTTAAAAGGCACAAATTTAATGTAAATTAAAGATTTATAAGATGCATGTTAAACAGTTGAACATTTAGGATAAAAATTTAGAGATGAATTAATTTAGAAAGTATGTAAATACATAATATCTCCTTATTAAGAATTATTTTAATAAATTGAAAATAGAAGTTTAGAAACAACAGAAAGAAGATATGCTTGGATGGCTAGAGTAATAAAAGATTTTGATACAAAAACATAAAATGTATTCCCAGAATATTGGGCAGTTCATTGTTAGATTTATTATGAATTTTGTGCAGTAACTAGACTTTAAATTACAGATATATTAGAATCATTAAAAGAATTAGATGTTGCTGTATTAATGAAAGCATTATAAGCTACACTTAAATTTGAATAGAAATTAAATGATGAAATGAAAAAAAGATATGAAGAATGGCTTGGTAAAAAAAATAATAATTAATTTGCAATTTCTGAATTGCCTAAAATTAGAGGAGCTATTTCAGATAGTTTTGAACCTTATTTAAGACCATATATAGATAGTGAAGAAAGAGAATTAATGTAACACATAACAAATATATTAAATTCAGATAAATTAGATGTTGAAGGAGATTTAAAAATGTTAAATTCATCGATGAGTATGTTTGCTTATTTTAAATAAATGCTTAAAAGAGCTTCATAATATAGTAGAACATAAGTTATGTTTGATGTTTAAAAATTAATTAAGAAAGCTCTTAAACGTTATTCAGATGAAATCGTAGTGAAAATTAATTCATCCAAAAATAATGAATCATTTTTATAAATCTTCTGTTGTTTTGTAATTAATACAGCAGAATATTGTAAAGAAACTATTCCAGGATTATAAGAAAGTATGGTCTAACATTTAGATTCTCCTTTTTCTGATTAGATAGAATTATCAAATGAAGAAGAATATTTTAATTCTATGATGAATAAATCTATTGAAACACTATTAATTTATGTTGATTCCAAAATTGATTAATATTATTAATAGATGTTAAAAATTGATTGGAATGAATTTGAAAATATGGGAGATGCATCTAAATATATTAGAGATACTATTACATTTTTAGAAGGACATATTAAAACAATTAAAGATATATTATCAGAATCATATTTAATATTTTATTTGAATAAACTTGTTGTTTATTTAAATAATAAATTTATTAATTCTGTTTTTAGAATCAAAAAAATTAGTGAAGTATATTATTTTATAAATTATAATAATAGATTGGATTATCATAATTAATGTTAGATGTTTCAGAATTAAAAACAAATTTAGTAAGAATTTCTAAACTTAAACAAGAATCTAAATCATAATAATCATTTAATAATTTTGTATAAAAAACATTATCAAGAAGTGATTCAATATTAAAATTGATTTAAATGAGCATTGAAAAATTTATTGAGAATTTCCCAGATTATGCTAAAAAATATGAATCTGCTCCTTCTGATTTAGATAAGATTCTAGGATTAAAGTAATTAAGAAGATAAGATATTCCACAATTAAGTAAATATTTCACAAAGATTAATTGATTTATTATTATAATAATTACAATGTTTAATAATTTTGATGAATTGCACATATTAAGATTACCAAAAATAGTAAATACTTTTGCAAAAGATGGTATTAATTATATTAAGTTAAGAGTTCTTATAATTGAGTATGAAAGTTAGTAAAATTAATGAATACGGAAATAAACATACCAGATATTTTGTGTTAACCAATAAAAAAATTTTATTATTAAATAAATCAAGTAACAACGATGTCATTTAAAAGCAATTAGAAGGAAAGTACTGTTGTCCTTTATAATTGGAATAACAATTTCCTCAAAAAGTTTTGAATTCATATTACATTTTAAAAATGAATATGATGATGATGATCTTAGATTATAAACTGAAAATAGATCTAGATTAATAGAATTTATAGTTAAGACATTTGCTACTGAATTTCATATTCCTTTGGCTTCATATTAAGTTTAAGATATAAATTTAAAGAAATATGTAGTTTATAAATAGGATAGACATAAACATATAAGTAAATTACCTAATGTTAAAGCTAACTATTTAAATTATAAACCAATTTTAGATGAATAAGAGAATTTCTTAAAAATGTAGTAAATATATTCACAAGATACAGAATCTAAATTATTATTTGGTGATTTCTTATTAAAACTATAAGATTTTGAAATGAAAAAAATTATATGTGAAGGTAGCATATCATAGATTGTATAAGTTATGAACACTAAAACTCATACATATCATATAATGAAATGCATTAGTAAAGAAGATCATAATTATCTAAATTTAAAAGAATTTATCACTTTTAAAAAATATGTAATTGATTAATTAGATTTAGACTCGACATCCATTTTTGATACCATTAGAATATTGTTTCGAAACTTTTGATAAATATTATTTCATAATGCCATAAGCTAAATGTGATTTATATAAAAAACTAGAAGAATTAAAGAAGTTTGATTAAAAATAATTATTATTTACAGCATAAGAATTAGTAATGGTTTTGGGAGATTTACATAATAAATAAATTATTCATGGCGATTTGACTTTAGAGAACATATTATTAGATTAAAATTATCATTTAGCTTTATGTGATTTTGGATACTTAAGGAGAACAATTAAAAATAAAGATTAATTTTATGGAATTGCTGAATACACTCCACCAGAAACAATATTAAATAAAGATTATCAATATTATAGTGATTATTGGTAATTAGGAATAATTCTTTATGAAATAGCTTATGGTCATCCTCCTTTTATTGATTATGATTAGAATTTAACATTTGATTACATCTTAAATTGTTAATTAGAATTCCCTATCCATATAGAGGTCGATTATCAATTAAAAGATCTCTTATTTAAAGTAATCTTTTTATTATAGATTTTAGCTATTATAAAAATAACCAATTTAAAGAATTGGATATCATATGGGAATTTCTGAAATTTAAGAACATGAATATTTTAAAAATACTAATTGGAAATTAGTTTATGATAAACAAATGTAACCACCAGAATTTGAGAAAAAATTAAAATTATTTTGATTCATCTTTTATATACCATTAATATTTAGAACAGAATATAAATATATAATAAATCACTATTTTTATTTTAACCAAGAAGGGGTTAACTTATGAGCTATTTCAGGTTGTATCTATAATTCCTCTTTTAATATAGTCATATTTATTACCTTTTTAAAAGTCAAAAAAATTAGGTAATTACACATTTGGCATACTAAATCCTTATTATCTGATTTCATCGAAATATGGATGTAGCAAAGCCTCCAATGGTTTTAGTCTCTCTTTTGGAGGATAAACTAGTAATTTACTAACAAAATCAATAAACAAGGGTTCCGGTTTAAATTTAGAAAATACCTATACTTATTTTTATGAATACTTTAGCCCATGGATGACATTTTATCTAAGGAAACTTGTATTCTTAATGTTAAGGATTCATTAATTTAATTTATTCAATTGTAGGAGTACCTAATATTTTGATTATTTCAACAAGTTAATCAGTAGCTGATTCTCCTGGAAAAAGAGGTTCACCAGTAAGCATCTCAGCAATAACACATCCTTTTTTTGAATAATTTTATATTTATACCAATAGACCAAATATCAATAGATGTTGTGTATTCAGTTGCACCAAATATTAATTCAGGAGCTCTATAATATCTTGAACAAATATAAGCAACGTTAGGTTCTCCAGGTATTAATCGTTTTGCTGACCCAAAATCACAAATTTTTAAAACATGATTATTAGGATTAACCAAAATGTTTTAAGGCTTAATATCACGATGACAAATTCCAATACCTATATTATAATATTAAAAAATACCTTATAAATATGCTAATGCTCTTAACATTTAATAACTATAGATCTTCAGTAAAATATTTGGAAATGCTGTTTTATTCTTTCTGTAATTTCGAATGAGTTTACTTAAAGTTTCTGGAATGTAATCCATTACTAAATTTAAATATATGTCGTCTGCCTAAAATGTTATTATATTAATTACATTTTTCGAATTATCACCTTAAGTAAAAAAGGCTTATCTTAATTTTACTATGCAAGGATGATTTAATTCTTAAATTATTAGATGTTCTCTATTTTTATATCGTCTATCTTAAAATACTTTCTTAATAGCAACTTTTTCATTAGATTTTGTATCAAGAGCCTACATGTCAAATTACTTAAATTAATTACCAAATAGACCATGCCAAAAGTACCATTACCAACAACTTAAAGAATCTGAAATTAATTCTATGATGAATTTGATTTTTGAATAGGATTATCCTAAGATCCTTCATCAGCTTAAGTTACTAATCTCTATTTCATTTTATTTATTAATCATATATAAATACAACAATATAATCAGATTATTATTCCAGGAACTCCATCAATTGATGACAAAGAGGTTTCACTATGTGATATAAATGATCTAAAAGAATTATTGGCACTTTAATTGAGATTGCTTTGATTATTATGATAATTTTATTAGTTGAATATTATGTCTACTGGATATCTTATTAATTTAGATGATTATTTTATAATAGAAGAAGGAGTGTTTGAATCTTTTTTTGGTTTAATTATTGTTCTTTTTTATAATTATTAGAGTAGATTTGATGTCATTTTAGTAACATCTCTTTTTGGTGTTAAATAACGTTCATTATCATTGTAAAGTGGTAAATCTAATTATTGTTTAATATTTAGATTATGATCACTTTCAAATGTCAAACATTAATTAGATTTAACTGGATTAGATGGAATTTTTCTAGTTAAGTTTTCTTTACTTTATTCTTCTTCTTCATCAACTCTTGAAAATATATCTATATCTCTATTATAATTAATTAAATTATTTACTAAACTTCTTATCCAAATGAAGAATTATCTGAGAAATCTTCTTATTCTACTTTAGATCTTTTTATTAATTATTTAGAATAATTTTACCAGGCTTTAAAAATAACTAAAATTGATAAATAATCACTAGCTATACTAAAATTACTTTTAAATTCAACATATGTAGCAATGAAAGATCTTTTTTATAATTTATCTCTTCTAAAATAAAATAATCTCATTTGCATTTCTTTATTAAACTTTTTAATTATTTTAATAGAATCATCAGATCCTTATTTAAATACTTATTATTTAAATGTTCTTCTAAATATTTCATAAATTAAAGAATTAAATTAAATATAACCTTAATCATCAGTTCTAATTTTTAAATAACCTGCTAAACGTGCTGCATCCCATATATTATCTTTAATATGTGTGAATGGTTAACCAATTTCTAATAAAAATTTACAAATTTATAAATAATGCATAGCTTTACCATGTCTTTGATATGAATATTTACACCAAACTGTTTTTATTTTATCTATTGATTCTATATATACTTAAAGTATTGAATTTTCAGATTAAAAGAATTTCTCAAATTGTTCTATTAATCCTAAAACAAATAAATTTAGTAAAACATAATTAGAAATAAAAACAAAAGAAATAAAGTAAATTTATGCAAATTAAGATCCACAATATCTTGGATCATCATAACAATAAATATTATGAATCATTGTATCTGTCATTACACTTCTAAAATTATCACAAGATCCACATTTTAATAATGTTAAAAGAGAACTTGTAAATGTTGAAAAATTTATTTAAGAGTCTATTATAATTCCTTTATCTATATGTCCAAATAATTAACATCCCAATAAAGCATAAGATAAAGTTGTTACAATCAAAATAAATAAAATCTTGCCTAAAAAGGGAAATGAAAATATCATAACTCTAATTAATCTTTAAAGATCATCAAATCCCTTAAATAATATTAGAATTCTAAGATTTCTTAAAGCAAACAATAGTCTAATAATTTAATAATTATCAGTAAACATAGTTGATGTCATCTAAATTTTAAATAAATCATAGTTTTTAGTTGCAATCAATTCAAATAATGAAATTATGACTATTAATGAATAGAATTTTCTCCATTAATCATCAATAAACCTTTTATATCCATAATCTAATAATTATACTAAAACCCAAAATGTAAATAGAATAGATATAATTTCATAGTATAGATTCAATTCTATAGCCATATCTATTTCCATATCTTAATAAAATGACATTTAGATAATTGTATCAACTATTAATATTAGAAATGATAAATATTAAAAGTATTAATTTTTATTTAATTTTTATGCCATTCTTCTAACAATATTTCTAGGAGGTTATGAAAATGAAGGAGAATCTCTTAATATTTTTTATGAAATTTATATAAATTCTTATTGATAAACTGTTAAATCATCATATTCTATTTTTTATTAACTTGCTTTTAAATTAAGAAATAATAAACCAGTAAATAAACTTAAGAAAAACATTGAACCTATAAAACAGAATAATGTAAGATATATATATGTTGGCAATTAATTAACAAATGGTGCTGGACCTTAATATGAAGATCTTGAATTTTCAGCTACTTATAAGATTTCTCCCCAACCATCAAATGTTGATATTACAAATAAAGTTGGTAAAGCTACTGTTATATTATCAAAATTATGTTAATAAGTTATCCATCTTCTTCCTTCATCTTCACATTATTATTTATTTATATCAAACTACATCAAATCATCACAGAATCCGAATTTATTCTAATATAAAATCATACCATAAACTGCAAACATTGTCCAAATTATCAATAATGTTATTAATACATTACTCATATTATATAAAGCAGCCACCAAAGAATTATATAGTTTTACTATTGGTTAAAATGAATATAACAATTTAAATGGTCTTAAATATCTTAAATACAAAAATAAATGTAAAATTCTACTTTCAGTATTTATCAATTGTAAATAATAACATACTAAATACATTATGTCTGTTATTTACCATATGTGCTAAATTAATTATTAAAATTACTTAAATATAAGTTCCCTTTTCATGAAATAAACCTAATGCTATTATTAACATTATTGTCTATATTGTTATCATAAGATTTGTTATTAAAATCAAAGAATCAACAATTACATAATATTCTACTTTATATGTCTATATTGCAATCAATATTATAAATCCTATATTTAATGCTAATCTACTCCAATAAAATATTTCTGATCTTATTGTTTTTACACAAAGAATTCTCTATTTATTATGTTTATCAAAACAAAATAATGATTCCTTACATTTTATTCCTAAATAGATTTTCCTTCTTTTTGTTTTTATTTGTTTTACTAATTATTCTATAAAAATATAGTTTAAATAATTTACATATTGATTCTAAAAGATACCAATATTAGGTATCCTTATAAATTTATGAATTTTAAGATAATTATTTAAATGATTTAGTCGTTTTTTCTTTTTCTTTATCTTTTTCTTCAGCATCTGAATCAGAATCTTATTTATTAGAAACATCATCTTTAAATTTAATTTCTTAATCTTTTTTTATTTCTACTAAATATTCTCCAAAACCATCTAACAATATAGCCATTACTAAACCATAAGTAATATAATTTAAAAAATGAATCATTGAAAATGAATAAATAAATGCAAATATTTAATTTACTTTTGTACCTAATGCTAATACACCATACCAATCATCATTTGTCATAATATTAAATACAGTCATCCATGATTTTAATGGATCTTTATATGAATGTAAATGTCCAAGTAATGTTGTTTCATCAAAACTACTTGCATAAACAGCCATGCCCAATAAAGCATATATTAAAATCATTAAAAACATTAAAAATGTCAAATAGATATATTATTTAAATGTTTTTTTGGCTATCAATCCTATTAACACTGCCATTCTAATATATTTTAGACATCTATGAAATAACAAAATTTTAGTTCCTCTTAGTAATCTAGCTATTATATCATCTTAATTTAAAATTGATCTAAATGACATTTCACTAAAATTGATTATAATGATTATTGATTCTAAAATTATTTATTCTTTCTATATTAATTTTGCTAAAATAAACATAAATATTATTATTACATGTTTAAAAAGATATTAGTTTTAATACTAATTCAAGTGTAACTATAATTGTTGTAAAATCTTCTATAGCTGATAAAAATTAATTAGATATAATTCCTATTAAACTTAAACATAAAAAGTTTACTAAGATTACACAATCTACAAAAAAATTAGTAAATTTATGAGTAATAATCATAAATGTAATTTTCCTAATAATAATAAACTTTCCTCTAATTCCTACTAACCAAATTAAATAATCAACATGATTTAATGAATGTTTTATTAAATTTTTATGTTCATAATTATTAATAACAGATGAAATAGAGCAGTTTTTTGATTCTATAATACCAGATTAAATTTCTGACATTCTAATTTAAAGATATTTTTCTTCATAATCTTTAATTTTATCAACAATTCTAATTTATATTTTTTTATTAATCAATTCTGATACTGCTTTATAATTATGATAGAATCCATATATTTTAATATATATTTCTTTTTCTTTATGTAAAATAAATGTATTATTATTTTTCTTGATTTAAGATGAAATAAATAAATTATTATTAGGATGAATAGAGAGAGTTTATTATTATGAAGTAGCTTTAGATAAATGATGTTATATATCCATGAGTGTAATGCCACTTGAAGCATATGATACAATTTTATCTTTTAATCTTGTACTCTTAATAATTGGAAATTATTTAAGTTCTTTTTAGTTTTATAGATTATTATTAGGTTTAGTTTTATATCTAAATTATAAGATTCTTTTTTATATTAACATTTTTTAACTGATTTCAATTTTAAGTAAGATAACATCTTAAGCACTTTTAGAGATATATGTTAAATTTTTTGCATTTGCCCAATATCTTGTGAATTCATTATGAGTTAAACATTACATATTAATATCAGGTTTCTCCATTAAATTATCATATAAATCCTATAACAAATTCTAATACTTTCTAATATCTAAAAATTTAGGAAGTAATAAAGTCTTTAATGAAAATTATTTCAAAAATTAAAACCTATTTTCATATTTAGAATAATGTTTTCCAGAAAGAATACGAGGTTATTCTGAAATACTAGATGCTATTGAACAAAAGCTTTTATTTAATAATGGATGATCTCCTTTCAAATACATTTTATATTATAAAATAGGATGATATAATCCAAATTATTTAAGATTCTATAAATTTAGTTTTTCTTCTTTTTAATGTTCATCATCTTCTTCTATTTAATTTTATTTTTAATTTGTTTATTAACTATAATGAATTTTTAAAACAGCTATAACTAGATTGAATCCAAAAAAACCACCAAAAAATATAATCAATAAATAATAAACCCAAATATAAGTTCCATAACTTTTAAGAGTAAAATACATTACCCAAGTCCAATCATCCATTGTAATAGTTCTTAAAACTTAAGCATAAGATGAAAATATATTATTAAATGATGTTGGTATATTAGGTCCTTATGGAACATATTAACAAACTAAATCTTCCGGACATTAAGTAATTCTACATGATATCCATGGTTATTAATCCAAAGAATCATAATATTGTGGTAAACATCTATAATTAATTAAACCATGAAATAAACTTTAACCAAGGGTTGCAAAAAATAAACCAAATATTATTACTATGATTAATGCTTCAAACAAATATTTAAATGATTTACCTAATGATTTTAACATAATTCTCAAGCCTAAATTTTTATTATATAAATACCAGGTACAAAATCCCCCAAATACAATAGTAATGTAATTAATCTTAATGGAGAGAAATTTACTTATTTAATATTATGGATTAACGTAGTATTTATTTATAAGACAGTTAAAATTAAGTCAAACCAATTTTTAACAACTCTAAAATATGCATGTTTATGTCCAATAATTCCTTTAGAAAGTATTCTAAAAACTTAATCACAAATGTATATGTAAATTACCACTAATTTTGTATATAAATAATAATACTTATTTCATAAACAACAAATTTATCATCTTCAATTGATAGGATTTATGACACAAAAATTACTAGATTCACCAAAATTATTATTGACATAAATATTTTATAAAAAATAGTTCTTTGCATGTAATTTAAAACAATTAGTATTCCATATATCAACTTAACAATTATTTTTCTGAGTTCCAAAAAACTATAATTATCTTGATAAATCTATTTAAATAAAAAATTACATTCATTTCATATTTCAATCTCTAATATCCATATATTTTATATAAATCAACTAAATAAATTTATTCAGTTCTTTCTTTTATTTTTTCATATTTTTTGTTCATTTTATAGTATTAATTATCACTATTATTGATAGTCTTTTCAGTTCTGCATTTCATTTTTTCTTAAGCAAACTTGTATTTTTGTTTTTAAACTTTTTCATTTATTTATTAAATAATCTAATGGTATAATATTATATACTTGTCTCGTACTATCTTATTTAGCTTTTTCAGATTTAGCTCCAAAAGTCATTTTAACTGAGGATATATCCTTTTTTGATAAGTTATCATTATCAAATTTGCTGCCAAAAATATTTTCTTCATTTCTTAAGATTATATTTGTTTTAGTTTTTTTCCCTTTTCTAGCTTTGGGTGTACCACTTCCAAAAGTATTAAAACTTAAACTTTTTAATTATTTATTCAATTTCATATTTTCAAATTTGTCAATTCCAAGTCTACTCTTGAAATGAGCAGTTCCTTAAATGGATGTTTAACTAAGTAATTTAATAGATATTACTTTGAGAATGTTATATGTTCTAGATCTTCAATAATCATATAATATAAATAGTGAAATATTATTAAGTTCTAAATTAATTTAGAAAATGCATTAGAAATCTTAGATGAATGTTTTTGTTAAATAACACAATTTTCAATCAATTTGGTTAATTGCTATCAACAAAATTTATTTAATTTTGATGATGTGTCTTAAAAATAGATGTTTAAAAATTAAGCAAGTAGATTGATGTGTTTTCAAATAGAATTAAAGATTTATTTTTTATTCTAAATGATTGTTTGAAATAAATAAATTATTATCATTCATCAAGATCATTTTATTTATCAATTTTAATAAAAAAGGGGAAATCTCTATTTTCACTTTACAAAGATGAGTCATATGAACATTTTTATATAGGTAAATCATTATAGAGATTGATTTAACTGTTGATAGATATACTATGTCGACTTATAGAAGCACTACTACTTATTTAATTGTCTAAGTCACTATCACAATTATTTTACAGAATATGATTCTAACTTTGTTGATAACTAAAATAAGTGAATAAAAATACTTACTCATTTTAAATTCTGCCTTGTATCGATATACTTTAGTCAGTAAAATAATCTAGATCTTAATTCACTTTAGCTAATAGTTATTTAGTGAATTACTGCCATGTCTTAAATAAGATTAAAACATTTAAATAATCATGAATTAAATTGATATTAGGGTGTATTGTTGCTGTTGGACCAATGCTGGAACGAGGTAGATTTTTATTTTTTCTGTAATACATCAATCTAAATTATGATTCTTTATTAAATTTCTTTATTTAAGCAATAGAATCTTTACTTCCTGATTTAAATACTTGATTATAATAGCATCTTCTAAATAATTCATACATTAAGAAATTATACTAAATATATCCATGAATATCACTAGATTAATATTTATTTATACCTTTATAATTTAAGTTAAGAAGATAATTTACATGCATCCCATAAATTGGAATCTTTATCTACTCCTAATGGTTAGCCTATATCAATTAAGAATTTGCAAAGAAATTTAAAATGCATAGACATGCCTTAAGTATCTTAAGAATATTTACACCATGTATTTTTAATTTTATCAACATTTTCAACATAAGTTTGAATTAATGAGTTTTACATTTAAAAAAACTATTCAAACTATTCAATCAATCCTAATACAAATAAATTTAATAGAACATAATTAGATAATAACATAAATAGAATAAAATATAATTGATTAGCAGTAGATCCACAATATTTATCATTTAATTAACATAATGGATTATGTTACATAGTATCAGTCATGATAGTTCTCCAATCATCACCTGAAGCACATTTAAATAAAGCTAACATAGCATTTGCAAAATTAGTGAAATTAATAATATCATCCATTACTTATCCAGAATCTATTTGTCCATAGAGTTGACATCCAATAAGTGCAAAAATAATCATGATAATAATAAGTATTGTAAGAATCTTAACTAAATAAGGCATTGCAAATACCATAACTCTAAGTAATCGTTATATATTTATAAGACCTTAAAAAATAAGAATTATTCTGAAGCTTCTAAGACTGAAACATAATCTTAACAATTGATAATATTCAATTCCAGGATGAGATCTAAAATATAAATGAGTCCAATTTGTAATAAAATCTACTATCAAATCAATTAATCCAATAAATACTAAAAATAATTAGAATCTTCTCCAATAATTATCAAAATATCTATTAATACCCAATGCTAAAAATAATAACAGTGTCCACATTAAATATATTATTGTTAATGAATAATGCATAATATTTACAATATTAAAGTATTAATCACTCATTTCTGAATTGAATAACAATAATATTATTAAATCAATTATTAACAATCCAGATATACAATATTTAACATGAATATTATTTATAATCTTACTTGATATTTTTCTCATCTTACTCTTTGGTGGTGCAGAATATGATGGAAAATCTGACATAAGAATATTTGTAATCTTCATAAATTCACTTTAAACTTAAGTATACATACTATTTTTCATTTTAAATTAATTCTCTTTTAAACTATTAAATAGAATCCCAGTAAATAAACTTAAAAAAAACATAGATCCAATAAAACAAAAGATTATCAAATATAAATATGTATATAAATAACTATTGAATGGAATTGGTCCAGTATTTTAAGTTTTACTATTCTCAGCTACTTATAAGATTTCTCCCCAACCATCAAATGTTGATACAGTAAATAAAGTTGGAAGTGCTACTGTTATATTATCAAAATTATGTTTATAATTTATCCATGTTTTATTTCCTTCTATGCAATCATTATAAGATACATAAAAAGACATTTTATCTTCACAATATCCAAATTATTTTTCATATAATATTATACCATAAACTCCAAATATCAACCAAACTGATAAAAGTGTTATAAATACATTTAAAATATCTAATAATGCTTGACCTAATGCTGCTCTTAATTATCTTAACCATGTTATTCTATACATTAGTTTCATGGGTCGAAAATAACCAAAAAATATTAATATTTTTATTATTGAATTATTACTTTACTTTTCAATAAGACTTGCTATTATATAAATTACATCAACTATCTACCAAGTAGATTTTAAAAATGAACCAGAATCTAAAAATAGACCTTTCGCTATTACATTTAATATAAAATCACTCAAAATAATAATGTTTGCAACAAATTACAATTTATCTGGAAGATCTGATGAATTTATTTCAAAATCATTATATGTCTTGATAATAAATATTATTATAGAACTATATATCATAGAATCTATTAAATATTAATAATAAATTTAAATTACAAGTTTAGTAATTACTATTCTAAAAACATTTGTTTTATCAAATAAATATAGAGATTATTAACATTCTATTCCGTAATATATTGATTAGTTTTTTATTTCAATACTTTTGTATGATGATTATATTGTTACAAGTAAATGAGATATTAAACTAACTTTTTATGTTTTAGATTGTAATTAATTTGTTTATACAATTGTATCATCATAAGTGATCTCATTTTATTCTGAATTCCCACTTATTTATTAAGCTTATAATTCTTCCTTTTCCATAATTTCCTCCTCTTAATTCTTCAAATATTTTCCAAATCCATCTAATAATATAGCCAAAACTAAACCATAAGTACAATAGTTTAATACAATTACCATAGAATATGAATAAATAATTGAAAATGTATAATCAATATCTCCACCCATTACATAAACTCCATACCAATCATCATTTGTCATTATATTAAAAATAGTCATAAAGGATTTCAATATATTATCAAATGAATGTAATTATCCTAAAGTTTCTAATTAATTAAATTTTCCTGCATACATTTCCATTCCTATTAATGCATACATAAAAATAATCATTAACATTAATACTGTCAAATAAATATAAGATTCAAATGTTTTAGAAGCTATTTATCCTATTTTATTTGCCATTTTATTATATCTTAAACATCTATAGAATAATAAGCATTTTGTTCCTCTTATCAGTTTCTATGTTTATAGATTAGAATTAGTCATTTAATCTCCAAGAATAAGTTCTATAAAATTTAAAATTATAATTAAAAATTCAAGAACTTAATTTTTTATACTAAGCAAATTTCTTAAAGGATAAGAGAATAATTTAAATGATTACTCTAAACATAATAAAATTGTTGTAATATCTTCTACATTAGAAATCAATCCAGGATTTACAATGCCTTACAAAGATAAAAAAGTAAAATTGAATAATATTATCAAATCAAAAAAAAATTGACTAAATTTGCTACTTATTAAAATATAACAATATTTCTTAGCAGTTATAATCTTTCCTTTTACTCCCGTTAGCCAAATTTAATGATCATTTTAATTCAATTATTCTTTTATTTTATTGAATTCATTAGCTCTCAAAATATCTAAAGGCAATACATCACTACCTGACCAATTTTTCTTTTGAATAACTCTTTTTATTAAATCCTTTCTTCTTAATAAACTATATTTAAATTCATTTGATGTAGAATTATCAATCATAATTGGTATTTTAGTATTAATCTTTTCACAAACAGCTTCATAATCAATATATTATTCTTATATCATAACATATATCTTTTTTTTACTAACAACAGAAAAAGGTAAACTATTTAATGTATGACTTTGTTTAAAATTCTTATTTTTAATTTTTAGAGAAGGCTCTCTAAAAATATTATGATTTTTTTATGTATTTTCTTCATTTGATTGATCAATCTATAAAGATTTAACTTTTCTCCTTATAGATTTTATTGGTATTAAAGTTTTTGATGATATCAAAGTTTACTTTGGTTTAATTTTAATTATGGAATATACTTGTTTAAATCTAATTTATCTGCATTATTTGATTAACTAGTTTTAATCAATGTTTTTTCTATATCTTTCTCTTTCACTTAAATGAAATATGAATTTTACATGAAAGATAGCAAAACATCATCAGCACTACTAAAATTTTGAGATATATCATAATTTGGATACGGAGAAAGTTATGAGAATTGATTCTCTAATAATTTCTATATTAAATTGGTTTCTAATGGATCATCAGTGTAATTAGACACTTTGATAATTGTCTTAAATTTATCTAAATATTTAAATCTTGGTAATAATAAATATTTTAAATTAAATTAATCTAAATATGCTTAAATCCCTTTTTAATTCAAATTCTAAAAATAATAGATAATAATAATAATACTTTTTCATTACTTTTTTATATTCCTGATAAAGTTCGTACTTTAGTTTTAACATTATCAGAATTAAAATCTTCAATATTATGAGATTAAGACTAATATAATGGATTCGATAATTATTTTTTATAACTTAATAAAACTTTATAAATTCCAATATGTTTTAGAAATGCAACATCGAAAATTGAAACAAAATCTCTTTATGAATTTTCTTATTTTTCTTTTAATCTTGCCCTAATATTTTATTAAATTGATTATTAGATAGTTTCTTCAGCTATTTCTGCATAATGAGTTTTGAGAACAGCAATAACTAAATTGAATCCAAAGAATCCACCAACAAAAATAATTAATAAATAATATATCCATATCCATGGATTAAATATTCTCATTGTAAAAAACATAACCCAACTCCAATCATCCATTGTAATTGTTCTTAAAATCTATCCTAATGAATATATAATATTATTAAATGAAGTAGGTGATTTTGGTGTAAATTCAGAATATTAACAATTCATATTTTCTGGACATACATTTCCATTACATTAAATCCATCCATCTGTTTCATCTCCATTTTCAAATTGACATCTATAATTAAATAAATTCTGAAATAATAGAACACCAAAAACACCAAAAAATAATGAAAATAAACCCACTATTATTAATGCTTCTATTAAAAACTTTAATGATGATATTAATGCCTTTAACATTACTGATAAACCTTTTAATACATTTCCTAAGTAATTTAATAATGTTATCATTCTTAAAGGTGACAAATCTAATATTACTATATCAGGTCTAAATAAATTTAAAATTGTTAGAACAACTAATGTGAAATCAAATATATTTAATGGACTTCGAAAAAAACTATTTCTATTCAATATTACTCCTGATGCTATAATTCTAAAACTTACCTCAATCAAAAAGAACACTATAATCACTTGTTCTATTTGATCTGTGTCTTATCTATTGTCTGTTTTAACATATATAAAAAAAACTACATTAAATATTATCAAAACTGTCATAAATAACTTAAAGTATATTGATTTTATTATGCTATTTATCATTATTGGTAATAAGTAACATATAAATACTATTCTCTTTCTCATTTTTAAGTATCTATTTTTATCATGATAACACTAATTTAAGTTTAACACATACTAGTAATTCAAATTTAAGCCTTTCATATCCTCTTAAGATTTTCAATTAAACATAATATGGATCTTACAAAGGATTTCTTTACATTTACTTTTAATATTTTTTTATAATCTTTTACAATTAGGCTTCTCCTTCATTTCTATTTTATTAAGCATTGATTTCATCCATTTAAATTTAGCTTTAATTCTCATCTATATCCTTTCTTATTATTCCTTAACTATTTATTGATTCCCTTTAAGAAGAACCATCATTTTCTTTTTTATATCTATCAACTATATTAATTGAAAGTATTGAATCCTCTAAAATATTTTCACTACTCAAACAAAATGAATCATCTCTTTATTCAGATATCCTTATTTTTTTATAATCTTGATTATTTACTTATCATCAAAAATATTTGATGGATTTGATGAATTTTTCAATATATTAGTTTATAAAGAATATTTTAACTTATTTGTGTCCAATAAGAAATCTGCACTCTCTTTCTAACCTTTTCCAACTTTTCTATAATTTCTGCGTATATACCTTAATAGATTTAGGCTAATGATAGTTAACGATTTGCTAATCCAGATGATAAAGTAACTCTTTTTGATGATAGTTTTGAACTTGCCCTCATTTAATATTAAAAATATAAAAAGAACAAATAAATTACAATTTCATCAACCAATTTAATTTCATAATTTTATATAGAAATATTAAATATATTAAGTAAGTCATTCAAAACTGCTTCTTCGTTAACTAATTATTCAAAAACTAATGAAGTTGTCTTTCTTTCTATAATTATTTTTCAAAACTAGAGTCATATTCTTAAAATGATTCTCTTTCATCAACTTAACTACTAATCGTTATTGATTCAACTGTTTAATTAGATATAATCACTGCTTAAGCTTTTGGTTTCATATAATATCTCATTTTCTATGAATTTAACACACAATCACTATTACTCTATGTCGCACAACTGTTAATTACAAAATCGTGTTTTTATTCAAATATCTATATAATTTAATTAGTCTTCTTAATCATTTATTTCTCCTTTTTTATCATATCATTTGTTAATATCGCTTAATAATCTTATCTCTTTTTTGTTTCAATATCGGTTTCAACATTAGTCTAATCACTTTCTCTATTATTAAAATTTAATTTATTTTTAAAACAAATTTGCGCCTTTTTATATTATTTATAGTCATACATCCTATTTAACTTCCTAAAATTGTTTTCCTAACTATTTCAATAATACATATTGATTTTAAAGATCAGATTATAATTTAGATAAATGATAATGAATTCCATCAAATAATAAAAAATTAAATTGTCTTTAAATTTATATTGTTTCATTAAGAAACTGTCTCAAAGCCTTACTTTCTCTTTTAATTATTTATTTGAATAACTTCAAATTTTTATGTTGTTTACTTAAATTATCAAGTAGTGAATTCATTATTAAAAAAAAAATTATCAACTAAAATGAATGGAATTTAATATAAATCAAGAAATAATCAAATTATATCTAAAATTTTACAAAGGGAAGCTAAAATAAATCAACCATACAATAATCGATTACCATCCTTAAATTTATCAGTTCCCACACAAAGAAACTAGATCTAGAAAAATCAACCATATAAATAATTTCGACTAACTAGATATAAGAATGAGTCCAAAATATTAGGGAATGAATTATTAAACATAAAAAAGAAATAGTTAACCTTTACAACCTTGAATACACTTGAAGAAACAATTTGAAAAATTATAACTAACATAAAAATCATAATAATTCGATCTAACAATATTCTCAATTCATTAATATCTTGACATTAATTCTTTTCTCTCAGTTTCATTTATTACATTTTTATCTATAAATTTAGTATAATAATAAATACCAGTGACCATATCTAAAATATCATCTAGATTTGCTAAATCATCTGGCAAAAAGGGAACTAAAGAAGCATGAAAATTTAAATTATCACTCCTATATTCTAACATTCTTTAATAATCATAATCCTTTTTTGATTCTAACATAATTTAAACAATTTAAACAAAAAGACTAACAATTTACTAAAAACATTTACGTAACATGACCTAAATCAGCCATTTTGATTATTTCAGATCTAAAAAAGTTTGGACCAAATACAACAGCCATATTATAAGCAGTCATTAAATTATGTTCTTATTCTTAAATAACTTAATTTAAGAATCCTAAAGAAAACAATAATATTTCTCTATTAAAATCTGGCATATAATCTAATAGCATTTAAACACTAACTTCTAAATTTTATTCAATTTATGGCTTATTTTGAACAACCCAATCATATAGTTAATAACTCACTAAAGGTTCTTACAATTTAAAAAAAAACTGTTTAAAAACACATGCAATAGTATGTGGATTTTCAACTTTATTAATAAATCCTACTTTTTAACAAGCTAATGCTGCTTCAACTATTTTTTCTTCATAAACAGCAGCTTATTTTCTAAATAATCCTTCAGTTTTGAGTTTTTCAGGTTATTTTAAAAAATATTAAACAAGCATATCTAGAATAACAGGAATTCCAAATTTATTTAATTCATATTCATGTAAATTTAATCCAAGAATTTTAGAATCTTTATCAAAATTATCTTCAGAATCCATATCATCATCATCTACTATTTATTATGTTTGTTATTTTCTGAAAACAGTTTTTTTTCTTTTATTTTCAATGTCTTTATATGATTAATCATATGATTTAATAGTTTATGGTAGGATAGCTAACATTTTATATCGAAACCATTCTTCTTTTGATAATATTAAAAGTCTAATAATTAGTTATAATATGATACGTATCAGCAAAAGTTGTGATTTTTTTAAAAAAGGATTTAATTTCATTCATTCCAAAAATGCCTCCACTTTTGACAATGAAATTAGCATGAAGAACAATAAATTTTTTCATATGATAAAAGTATTTTTCAGGAAGTGTTCCATAAAAATCTTTAAAATCATTAAGATTCGAAGCAGTCATCATATTAGTATTGAAAAAGACAATATTAAAAAATCTATCAATGTGTGGATGCATAGTTTCAATGATATCAATTTTGAAAGAGTCATAATCTTATTTTTTACTTGGATCTGGTATATTTTCTGCATAAATGAAAAAGACTTATATATCATCGTTCTCATTAGCTGAGTAATTTAATGAGATATAAACATACTTACTAATTTAATAGCTGATTTTTTGGTATAAGTTTCAGATTTCTTAAAGTATTAAGCAACTTATAATTGAATTTAATAATTCTTTTGATTTAACAACATTTAATCTTTAAGTGGATTGATTTTGATTTTTTGTTTGAGGAATGTCTAAGCATCATTAATTGATTAATCCATAAAATATTTATATATTAAATGAATAGAATTGTGTTTTAATTATAAAAATAAGAAATAACATGAAAACATATGAAATAATAATTACAACAGGGAATTGTTTATCCTTATGTGGAGCATGTGTGATATTTTTCTTATTTTTTTATTTTGAGAAATTACGATAAGGATTTTTCTCACACGTAATAATATATATAACGATTGGATCATTAATTCAAATTATAGGTATACAATTATCCTCAAGTTTTAAATTATCAGAGTGCAAAGTATCGGTGAGTATATTGATATATGGTTCATTGATAATGATATTTTGGAGTACTATAATGATTTGGGCATTGAAGTAGAATTCGCATTCTATATTAGAAAATTATTTAGTGTATATTTTAATAAAGGAACTCTTTAAGATTTAGAAAATATGCATGATTAATTTAGAAACAATGAAATAAAGTTGTTACTTTGTTCTTTTGGTATTCCAATCCTCCTGGCAATTTGGCCAGTAGTCTTGGATGGAGCAACATCAGAACAATCAACAAATAATTTTTGTTATTTATATACTACATCAAGTTAATCAGAGTCTGTAAGAATTTAAGTAGAAATCTCGAAGTTGATATCATGGGAAATACCTATCATATTCTATTTAATATACAGTTTAACAGTACTTTATAATATAAAGAAATTGTAAGTCATTCCATAAAATTTTAATATAGTTATGGAGAAAATATAGATGAAACTTATTTTATTGAAATCAAAAAATTAGTTAAAAAATTGTTAGCATATCCTATTATCACTATTTTTAGTACTATTCTATTTACAATCATGGATTTAGAAACATTCTTCAATGTAAATGTAATATTATTTTAATATTAAGATAGGAAGCATTCAAAGTACAATCAGTTGGACTATGCTATCTTTATGGGAATTCTTCAATTTTTTTGCTTATATTTCATAAAATAGTGTCCAAGAAGAACTATTTAGAAGAAACTTTAAAGAATAAGAATGTATTTTTATTAAACAATCTTAGTTTAGTACATCCATTAATTTAATAAGATCCTGAAGACAGTATTAATGAAAGAGACTATTTTTATTAAGTTAATTCCAATATGCAAGTTTCTGGTTAATAAATTAATTGATTATAATAATAATATAATAATGAGTGTTCGTAGAGTTTAATCAGCAGTTGCTTCAAGTAAATAGACAACAGCAGTGATTCCACTTTCAGAATTGAAGAGAATGCAAGACCATATCACTGTATATCATTAAGATACTCCAGAAAAATTTGAATTGTATTAATAACTGTTCACAAAAGGCATAAATTATCATAAGATCGAGTAAAGAATTGGAATAACACTTTAAAATAAAATAAAGTTTAGAAGGACAGAACTAAGTATTCTTATTTATTAACATTTATTTAAGATTCGAACGTTTTAAACAAGATGAAGAAGAAAGAAGAAAAATTGATGAAGATGAACGTCGTTATTAAGCACTTGTTAAATAATAAATTTTAGAAAAAGCTAATAAACAAATTTATGAAAATAATGAACGTATTAGATAGTTTTAATCTAAAATGCTTGTTGTTGATGCACTTTAAGAAAGAGAAGGATAAAAATAAATTAAAGAAATGCAGAAACTATTAGAAAAAGAAAGGGAAAAAGTTTAATATGAATAAATGTTAGAAATATAGGCTGAAAAAGATTTTTAAGAAAAGAAGAAATAATAAGAATTATAAGAAAAAAAAAAATAATAACATGATATGCTTAAAAAGTAGCATGAAATCATGAGAGTAATGTGTCTTCTTTATTTCATTAGGATAAATTTATTAAATAAGTTTAAGAAGAAAAAATTGAAGGAGAATTAATGAAAGCCAAAGTATAAGCTGATTTAGAAGAAGAATAAAGAATTGCTAAATAAAAAAAAGATAAAATTATGGAAAATCAATAATTATTAATTCAAGGAAATGAAATATTAAAAAAATAAAGAGAAATTGAAAAATAAAAACTTTTAGAAGAAGAAAAAAAAATAGAAGAACATGCTTAAAAAAAAGAAAGAGTTTTAGAAATTAGAAAAATTAGAGATGAATAAAGAAAAGCAGAAAAGTAAGCATAAAGATAAAAATTAATTGATGCTTAAACTGAAAAATTAAAAAAATAAAAAGAACAATAAGAAAAATTGTTAAATAAAAATATTAAAGAAGCTGAAATTAAAGCGGAAGAGGTAGAATAAATGAAAAAAGAGTAAAGACGTAAATTATAAAGTGCAATAAGTTATAGTCACAAAGTTAAAATGGAAGTAAAACAATAATAAGAAGAAGAAGAAAAAAGATTGAATTAAGAATTCTAATAATATTGGATTAATAGAAATAAAGAATTACATGAATAAGAATTAAGAGAAAAAATGGAAATCAGAAAAAAAAATTAAGAATTAAAAGATTTTCATCATTAATAAGCTAATTAAAGAACTGAAAAAAGAACTAAAGATATTATTTAAGATTTTGATGAGAGAGACAAATGTCTAGCAAGATTAGATAATTAAGATAAAGAATTTGACGAATGGGCAGCTTAAATTGTGAAGAGATATTAAGCCGAGGGAAAAAACACAGACATTTTGATGAAGGAACTCAAGTAATTCAAATATAAATGATGAATTTGACTAAATATATGAATTTTTAATATAAATAATTTTATCAAAATATAAAAGAAAAAAACAAGATCTTTTAAATTCATTTACTTAATAAATATTTTCATATCTAAATAATTTTCTTAATAAACCATTTAATGAATAGGAGGAATAATTCCAAATTATAATTCATTTATAAAAAATCAAATTGTAGATTAAATTTCATTTTATGCAAACAAGAAACAAAATTCTATTGATAATCATAGCTGTTTTAAGTATTTCTAAGTAAACAAATAATTTCTAATATAATAATTTTTTAATTTCATTATTTAGATTATATATGAATATAGAAGTTCAACAGCATATAAATTCTCTAAGTAATTAAATTATTTAGTTAAACATTGTTTTAAGGAGTAAATCCTAAAAACAGGGGATTAACAAATTCAAAAATATAATAATTGAAATATAATTACAAAGTTTAAGTTTGAATACTTTTTTTTGTTGGGATTTAAATGTATGGCAAGTAAGATAGTAATATTAAATGTTATATATCATTAAATGATTTAAAAAGATTTATGAATTGATAAGGGAATGAAATGAGATTTTGTGTTGTTTGTAATTTATATATTTTTGTGATAGAAATCACTAAGATTATCATGCTTCACCTTCTTCTTCGAATTCTCCTTCTTCTTCAGCAGTAGCATCTTAATATTATTAATATTCAGAGACTAAGTCATTCATGTTGGATTCGGCTTCAGTGAATTCCATTTCGTCCATACCTAGAATGAATAGAAAATGATATAATACCTTCACCAGTGTACCAATGTAAGAAGGCCTTTCTTCTAAACATGGCAGTGAATTATTCAGCGACTCTCTTGAACATTTCTTAGATAGCAGTTGAGTTTCCAACAAATGTAACTGCCATCTTCAAACCTTTTGGTGGGATATCACAAATGGATGATTTAATGTTATTGGGGATCCATTCAACAAAGTATGATGAGTTCTTATTTTAAACATTAAGCATTTATTCATCAACTTCTTTGGTTGACATTCTTCCTCTGAAGAGTGCAGATGCTGTTAAATATCTTCCATGTCTTGGATCAGCAGCACACATCATATTTTTAGCATCAAACATTTATTATGTTAATTCAGGGACTGTAAGAGCTCTATATTATTGAGATCCTCTAGATGTGAGGGGAGCAAATCCAATCATGAAAAAGTGAAGTCTTGGGAATGGAATCAAATTGACTGCCAATTTTCTCAAATCAGAGTTTAATTGACCTGGGAATCTAAGACAGCATGTAACACCTGACATAGCAGCTGATACTAAGTGATTCAAATCACCATAAGTTGGTGTTGTCAATTTCAATGTTCTGAAACAAATATCATATAAAGCTTCATTATCAATAACCATGCACTCATCAGCATTTTCAACCAATTAGTGAACTGACAATGTGGCATTATATGGTTCAACGACTGTGTCAGACACTTTTGGTGATGGTACAACTGAGAATGTTTCCATAATTCTGTCTGGATATTCTTCTCTTACTTTTGAGATCAATAATGTTCCCATTCCTGATCCTGTACCACCTCCTAATGAATGAGTGATTTAGAATCCTTATAAACAATCACATCCTTCAGCTTCCTTTCTAACTACATCCAAAACTGAATCAATCAATTCAGCACCTTCAGTATAATGACCTTTAGCCCAATTGTTACCTGCTCCTGTTTAACCAAACACGAAGTTATCTGGTCTAAATAATTGTCCAAATGGTCCTGCTCTGACTGAATCCATTGTTCCTATTAAAAAATAACTTAAATTCACTACCTGGTTCTAAATCCATAAGGATAGCTCTTGGGACATATCTACCACCTGTAGCTTCATTGTAGTATACATTGATTCTTTCCAATTAAAGATCTGAGTCACCGTGATATGTTCCTGTTGGGTCAATACCGTGTTCGTCTGAAATGACTTCCCAGAATTTGGCACCAATTTGGTTACCACATTGTCCTCCTTAAATATGAACTATTTCTCTCATTGTGACGGTTACGAAAAAGGATTTTGTTTTTTTTAATGTTTGAAATTTGAATTTCCACACAGCTTAAAATGTGTTACCAAATAATATCTTTTTTTAGTTAATTAACATCCCCCCTTTTAGATTTTATAAAAGAAAATCATATATTAATTAATCAACATTAATTATTGATCAAAAATTATTATATGAAACTGATAATATAAAATAATTAATGACGAAAGTTGTCAATTACAAAGTTAATGGTTCTGGAAGAGATACATATATTGGTTATGGAAATGGAGGTTTCTATAAAACAGACTCATTACATACTGAAGAGTCTTTCTATTAATTGAATAGACAAAATTCATTGCCCATAATTAATAGCAAATTTAAGCTTTATCATACAGATGGAACAGGTAGAGATTCATACATCAGGTATCGGAAATGAATAAAAAAAAGTGAATCATAGGGTGGTTTCTATAGCTACCAGCCAAAGATAAATTTTTTAGGGAGATTAAGACACTATGACCCATCTCCTGAGGCGATTAGAGGGAATGATTTTTTAAGAAGAAGTTAGATGGTGAAACCAGCAAAGGAATAAGAGCGTTAGTTGAAGTAGCAGTATTAGAGTATTTTAGATAGAGCGCAGTAGTGGAACAAGTAACTTAGAGACTACAATTACCTAAAATAAAAAGGGAATGATTAATTATTATAATATATATATATAGATAAATTTTCAAATGTCAGATAGCTCATCTAATGAAGACTATCGAAAGTTAAATAGAAAGGCAAAGAAATCATAGGTTCGTACAAATGTATAAGATCCAGAATCCACACGATTTGCATAAGATTTCGCATAAAGATTGCTGAAAGAGAGAGGATGTACATATGTGTATGCTAAGGAAAGTTGACATTACAGAAGAAGAGATGGGATTCAAGAAACAAGCAACTAAACAAGTGAAGGCTACTACATATGTGCATAGTATAGATTAGGCAACATTTAAGGAATTACAAAAAGAATTTAATAAATGTGAGAATATTGGTTAGATTTGTACAATCTTAAAAGCATTGAGTAATCATAAAGAGGCAACACCCTAGCAATAACTATAATATAAGATATAGAGAAGTGATTTCTTAATAAAGAATAGGATGTATGAGGAAACAAAGACAGAATGTTTTGAATTATTGTAGTAAGAATTGGGTGTATTAGAAAAAGTGAAAGTGTTATTATCATTATGTAAGGCATAATTAGAGACTAATGAAATATATAATGGATGTATGTAAGCATTGAGATTAAAAAGCTATGCAGAAACAGTTAAATTAATGCCAGCATTTAATTTGGGGATTTATGATCTCACTCCAGAATAAATATATAAATAGATAGATGATATCTATTAAAATACTATATTTAAGATTTAGAGAGATAATAAAAAGGTAGTATCTCTTCTTGGAGTTTAAGGAAATAGTGCTACAGGTTGTTTAGGTTAAGGAGATTTAAATTAATGTAGTGAATTAACTTAATATTAAATATTTAAAAATAGAAAAATACTATCAATAGGATGTGGAGAACATCATGTTATCATTTTGATTAGTGGATGTTCATGTATTAATCCTCATTATGTAAATTAATGTAAAGGTGATAAATGTAATAATGGAAATGAAGTATTTGGATGGGGAGAGAATTTCTTAGGTTAAGTGACCATGAATGAATAAGATGGTAATTTTGTAAATGTTCCATATAATATTAGTTAATTGAGTAATAAAAACATTATTGGAGTATAAGCTTATAAATGCACATCATTAGCATGGGATTCAGAAGGTCATATTTATTAGTGGGGAGCTAAACATATACTTAAAATAGATTCTATGACTGATATTTAATAAATAGTATTGGGATTCAAATTTGGAGCAATACTAGCTAAAAAATCATTATTCATCATTGGTGAATTAGATGAAAATATTAAATATTCTAAATTAACTAAATTAGCTGATAATATAGATTAAATTGCGTGTGGAGATAATCATTTAATTTCATTGAATTCTGAAGGAGAGGTTTGGGGAATTGGATAAAATAATTTTCATCAATTAGGAGTGAATAATCATTTATAATATTCATAAATTTAAGAAGAAGAATGTTTTTATATTAATGCAAATTAAAATTCAAGTGTTTTTGTTACTTCAGATGGAGAAGTCTTATATTGTGGTTAAGTAAGCAGAGAAAAGGTCATTGATTATCCTAAAACATTATAAATTGATGAAGATGTACAAATCATTTAAGCTTGTATCTATGATGGTGTAATCTATGCTTTAAATTTATAAGGAAAAATATTTAAATGGGATATTGATAAAGAACCTAAATCTAAATTATTCTTTTCTGCTCCTGTAAGATAACTTTATCTTTGTAGAGGAATCAGATTATGTGAAACTACAACATTATAAGGTGAATGGTGTAGATTAGAATTAGAAGATTAAGATTAAGAATAGTTTGAAACCTTTACAGATATAAATCTTATTATTAATCTAGGAGATAAATATGGTCCTTATGGAATCAAATAAACTCATCCTATTAGATATAATATTTTAGTATCTGAGGATTCTGAATACACTCCTGAATAATTATTACATAAATGTTAAGTTGTCTCAATGAGTAAAATTCAATCTTAATAAGAAAATAAAATTTATCTTAATTTTATGAATGATGGATACAAAGCTGAAATTAAACAAATTGAAGAACCTTCTAAACATAAACTAGTTTTATAAGTTAATAAACCAGGAACTTATTTAATTTACTTATATCTTAATGAATAATTACTAATTGATTGTCCTTTAAATCTCAATCTAATTGCTGGAAGTAGATAGGATGAATTAATATAGGCAGAAGAATTAAAAAAATAATAGCAATAGGCAGAATTATAAAGAAAATAAGCGTTACTGTTAAAAAAACAATAGGAAGAAGAAGAGAGATAAAGATTACTCAATGAATAATAATAAGAACTATTATTAAAATAATAGGAAACAAGTAATCTTATTTGTTTATTCTTTAGAAAAACGAGCAGATGAAAAATTATAATAATACTAATTAAAAATGTAGGAAGAAAAAAGAATTAAAGAGGAAGAAAGATAACAGAAAAAAGATTTATTAACAGGAGGAGGTTTTGATCTAAATAAAGTTAAATAATAATAGGAATCAAATTAAAATAATAATCCACCTAAGAAAATTATTAAATAAGTTAATACTGCTCTTACTCAAAAAGTTAGATAGTAAATGCAAAATTTATAATAAGAAAGATAATAATTATAATCATTAAATAATTAATAATAATAAGAGAAACAATAGAATAAACATTAATCTTAACCTCAAAAATTGAATCCTGTTAAAGCTACTCCAAAAGTACTTCAAAGTATATAATCAAATAAAACTACTGATAAAGCTTTTTCAACTTAGGAGACTTTCAAAGAATTTTAATAAACAGGATAATTCAGAAAAACAGATTCGCAATTATAAAAGATGCAATAAGAATTCTTATAAGAATTTCAATAGTTGAAAAGATAGGAAACAAATAAATATAAAAGATGATTAAATATATATAATTATATTAATATCGAATGAAAGATCAAGTTGATAATAAAAGTACAGAATTAAGAACTGAACCTTGTTAAACAACTAAATAAGTTCTCATATCTCATAATGGAGACTTACCTCTTATTAGTCAAACCGACATTACATATCCTAAAGTACCACAAAGTAGAGAGACACAAAAATTACAATGTGTAAATTGTTCAAAAGTATCTACTACTAAATTAAAATTCTAAAATGGGAAAGGTGCCTATTTGCTGATGCTATTGTTTATTGTATTTATTATTACAATTCCTTTGGCAATCCTTGTTTACTTTCTAAAAATGTTCAAAGACGTGCAACATTATTGTTCAGAGTGTGGAGCTCTAATAGGAACAAAGCATTTTTTAATTGGATGAATTATTTATCAGTATTTTAAAATAATTAATCATGCTTCAATCAAGCTTTAATAATCATATTAAAAATAAATAAAGTTTGAGAATTTAAATAGAAATTTAGAATTTCTTAGATAATTTGTACAATAAAAGAAGAAGTAGACCTATCATTTTTGAAAATCTTCAAAAATTGCAATCAAATAATTATTTTGGTAATGATGGTTATCTCTTTTTCTTACATTAAAACTAATTATTGCCTGTTGATCCTTATCTAATTTAATTAACACTTTTGACACTGCTTGGTCTAATATTTCTTTATTGACTATGACTACTTGGTCTTTAACTATTTGATCTTACACTACGTTAACTTGCTAATAAGATCTAATAAATGTCAATTACTTGTATATTATCTAATTCTAATTTAAAGTGGTTATTTGCTTTAATATTATAATAACTTTTCTTAATCTTCATTAACTAATAGATTTTTCTCAAAAGTTCCAAATTTAGGTTATTCTCCTTTTTTACACTAACAATTATAAAATAATTACATATTCTCCTTCTCCCCATTAATATCCTTATTCCCACATACCAATATAATATGATCCATCATTCCAATACATTCTTCCAAATCCATGTCTAACATCATCATAAAAATTTCCTTCATATCTACTTCCTTTGGCCCATTTATATACTCCATAACCACATTTTTTATCGTTTACAAATTCCCCTTCATAAGAATCAGTTAATGTAGCATTTCTATCTTTGATCCATAATCCTTTTCCATGTCTTAATCCATTTTAAAATGTTCCATTATAATAACTACCTGAATTCCATTAATATTCTCCTTCTCCTTCAGGTTTACCATTAACATATTATCCTTTATAAATATCCCCATTAATAAAATATTCAATTCCTTGACCATGTTTTAAACTATTATGAAATTCTCCTTCATATCTATCTCCATTCACCCAAACATGTACTCCATAACCATCTGGATTTCCCATTCTCCATTCCCCAACATAAGAAGTCCCTTTCAGTCCATTCCATATTCCTTCACCATGTTTTAATCCATTTAACCATCCACCTTCATATACTTCACCATTAGCCCAAAGAAATTTACCTTTTCCATCAGGTTTTCCATTTATGTACGTACCTTCATAAGATGTTTTATCTGGAAATCTCTCATATCCTTACCCATGTTTTCTATCATTTTCAAATTAACCTTCATAGATTCTTCCATTATTACTCAATATTACTCCAAGTCCATTCTTTTTACCATTTATCAATTAACCAAAGTAATATGAATCTTTATAAATTTTGAGTCTGCAATTCTCAAATTTTAGAAGTCTTTCATATTTGAACTTTTTATTATAAGGTTTGTATGTGCGAAATTTTTGAATTATCTCTTCAGCTTCTTAGTGTGTAAACTTTATAGGTGGTCTATAGTTCAAATTTGATTGTTTACGGATTTTCAATTGGTTGCACAACTTAGGTTTCACTATTTTTAGTTTTTAAGATAGAAAAATCAGAAAACTCTTTGCTATTCCCTTCTGTGTATTACATAATAAAAATAATAATTAAATTATTTGATTTTTGTAATACAAAAAAAAAACATAAAAATATTATATTATCATATTCTTCTACTAATCTTTGATGGTTTTAAATCTGTAATATAAACTTGTTATTTTTAAACTCCAGTAAAATCATTTAAACTAGTTACAGAATCGAGATTTTGTTTGTCTATAGTTTAATTCATGATACATTTTGATTTAAATGTCATAGAATTTCCTGCAAAATCAGTTGCTAGAACTGGAGGTAGATCAGCAAAGAAAGGATGTTAAAGTGCTTAATAAGCTGTAATTCTATCTTCAGGATCTTTAGCTAACAATGCTTTAAGCAAAGACTTAAATTTATTATCGTTTGATTTACGATGCAATTTTTAGTATAATTATATTATTGAACAATAGACCAGTCTATTTAACATTTTTTGTTATTTGCTAAAACTTGATCAGAAGTTTGTCCTTGAAAACAACTAATACCTTTGGATAATCTAAATAAATATTTAATAAATACAATTTAAAAAATACAACACCTAGACTAAAGATATCACAAAGAGATGTCCAAGCCTTTTATTAATCTTTTTTCATGTTTACAATTTCAGGAGCCATATAACCAGGAGTTCCACATCTGTTATATTATAATTAATTTTTAATGCTCAAACCAAAATCAATGATTTTAACATTTCTGAAGGATGATTGAGAAATCATTATATTTTAAGGTTTAATATCTCTATGAATAACTTATTCTTAATGAATAACAACTAAAGCTTTAAGAATTGCCTACAAAATAACTTTGATATCATATTCTTTAAGTTTAGTTTGTTGTTTTTTAAGTTGTTCAATAAGAGTAGCCAAACATATTCCATCAACAAATTCAACAATTATACCGTATTAATGTTCTTCAATTCTATAAACTTCAAATATTTTAAGTATAGATTCATTATTAATTGAATTCAAGATTCCAATTTCATTTTCTAATAATTACTGAATAGAATATAATTAATAAATACCATGTTTTCCTTATCATTCTTTTACTTACTAGAAACTTATTTCATTGCAAATGCTTTATCATCATTCAACCGATAAACTTTATGAACTTTTGAGAATGAACCTTATCCAATAACTCTCTCTATTTTATAATGATCATCAAGTGAATGGAACCCAATTAAACAACTAATTGACTAACGAAATTTAGTTAATTGTTCAGCAGCAGCTTCAAAATACTTCACATTCTTTCTATGAAATAATTAGTTTAAAAAAAGATTAGTTACTTATATTTAATTCCAAAAGCTCTATTTTATCCATGCTCTTATTTCCAATAAACTGTATTCTTGAGATTCAACTCTAATTTATATTTAGGGTTAGGATCATTAAATTACTAATTCTACTTTAATTTATGTACCTCTCCTATAGTAATCATATTATGAAGTGCATGAACATGATAAACTTTATCCTTAAAAAGATGTCGACGTAAACATTAAAAAGAATATTTCACATTTCCATAATTTATTGATGGCTAAGATTGTTAGTTTTCACCTATAGATTAATTCATTTCTAAAATTAATATATATATATATTTAATAGTTTCAATTAGTTATGCTGAACAAGTTTATAGATTCATGAGCTCCCATCTATAATATAGTAAGTTCTATTTCATTAGCATATTCATTATTTTAATCTTCAGGATTGTTGAGATTAAACACCTCTCCAAAATTAATATTTGGATTGTCAAAAAAATAACCACCAATTATTAAAACATTGTTATCATCTAATAAAATTGGTTTTGGTAATGATCTAGAATGTTGTAGAGTTCCAACTATTTGTCTATTAAATTATCTATATATAATACATACCCTGATACATTTTAATTAGATTCTAAATCATCCTAATTAAATCTTATAATTTCTTTCTTACTACCATCAAATCCTTTACCTCCAAAAATAAATAAATCTTAATCATCTATGACTATTGATGATAATCCTTCTAATGAGAATGGCAATTCTATATTTAATACATCCCATTCTTATGATTATTCATTGTAACATTCAATCTTATGCGAAATTTATCCTAAAATATATATATTAATTATTATATACCTTCTCCAATATATCCTCCAAATACATAAATCTTCTCTCCTATTACATTAGCAGTCATAGAACATTTTGGTTCATTCAATGGAGCTATCTAATCCCATTCCTCTTCATCTATATTGAATCTCTCTACTGTACTATGTAATGATAATATATCATTCTAATATCCTCTTCCTCCTATAAAATAAACATATGGAGCATTATAAACACATGCAGCTGCATATCTATGATAACTTAGTTTACCCACTTTCTTAATCTTTACCTTCATCTCTGGAAATATTATAGTTACCAAATATGCCTTCTTATTTATTTATGAAATCTTAGAATCTATCCCACCTCCTAATAAAATCTATCTACAATTTGGTAATTCTGCATCTATTGAACATACACTCATGTATGAATATAAACACAATTATGTGGGTACTTCCAATGCTTATAAATTGTCTGTTCTATATTTTGGAATCGGTAAAATAAATGGGTATTCATCATTCCCAAACATAAATACAACATCATCAGGTTATAAGTTATAATCTTATTTCTGTTACATTGTTTATTATTGAAACTCTTCCAATCTACATATCTATTATACAGATGACATTCCTCTTAAATTCTAATTCAACAATTCTTGAACATTTTCGTCTACATTTATTAAAAACTCTTCCCAAATCTTATTTTCACTATTGAATAATTCAAAAGTATTTTATTTATTCATTCCACCATATACTATATAATTACCAAATTCATCCCGAAACATATGAAATAGCGAACGAATCTAATTCAATTATGAATAAGAAACACATGTATTATCTAAAGATCATATATATAAACTAATTACTTTTAAGATTCAAAAGTAAGCATGCTTAAGATGGTCCTTATAAAGTCATTCCTCCAACTATCATTATTTTTTAATTTTCTAAAGGAATCAAATGAAATCCTGCCAAACCTCTAGGCATTCTTATTTTACTCCTTATCCATATATTTTTGGTTTCATCATAATATTCAATAGACTTAGTATTTTTCTTTCCATCAAATCCTCCGATGCAATAAATTTGATCATTGTTCAAAAACACTCCAAAATTGGATCGCCTCTTTGTCATTGGTGAGATAGTCTTAAATTATTTAAATAAAAATACCTTCCATACTCCTCCATCATAGACTTCACAATGTGATAGAACACTTTCAAAATCTGGACCATATTGTCTTCCCCCCAATACATATATTTTTTCATTATGATATAGACACTAATGAACATATCTACATTGAGTGAATTAACTAAATTGGGTTAACTAAAATGCGTTACAATTCTTACCTTATTAGTTTATGTATTAAATATATAAACATCATTTGATATTATTTTATTTGTGTTTCCCAATCCTCCTGTTATTAGAATTTCATTATCTTTGTAAGGAATAGCACATGACCAATTATTGATCTATGAATGATTTAAAATTTATATACCTTTAATCCATTGTCAATTGGAACTTTCTGAAAACTCTATTGTTAAGAGCAGTACTTAATAATCATATTTTCTTAGGGCCAAGTTGACCCAAAAATCAAATGTTAAGTTTAAGTTGCTGACATTTTATATTTTTATAATAATGTTGCATATTTATAATTCACGCACCTAAATAGTAAAACAGTTTATTCATTTTAAGTTAGCTAAATATATATAATATATATATTAAAATTAAAATATAATTCATTCTTTAGGAATTAATTGTTTTCTCTCAGGTAAATGTTTGATTTGGAATGATGAAATATCCTAAATAATTTCTACTTAACCATAACATTATTCACTATCATAACAAAACCAATTTAATGCTGGTTCATTAATTCTACTAGTTGATATTATCAATTCTTATGATGCAACACTACCTATAACAGAATAGACAGGACAATGATCAACTCCATAGAGTCTTGCGAAATTTCTAAATGTGCTAACTTATTCCTCAGTTGCTTCTTTGCCATTAGAATTTTTAAAGATCTCTTTACCTATCTATGTGAATTTATCTAATAATTCATCATTTGGTTAATAAGGATCATAAGCTTTTAATTCTGGAATCTCTTAAGCTTTTTTCATCATCAAAATACAATAATATATTAGATTAGTCATCATTCCTTAAGATTTATAATTGTAATTCAATGTTTATTCAAGTGGAACAGAATGAACAATAACTACTTCAAATTCTCATTATCTTCTAATTTTCTTCCAAAGACAATTTACAATATTATTTTTTTTTCTCTTTCGTATGTAAATTTTAACCCTAATCCAATATACATAAAACCATAGAATCCAAAACAAACAAGAATCCATTATATTAATACCAAGCATTCTGATCATCTTCATAAGGAAATTGTTCAATCCAATCTATTTTTACTAAGGGATTTATCATTTTGAGTTCTTCTTAAGCAATTTTACCTCTCTAAAAAAATAGCCAATAAATAGAGTACTTTTTCTCCTAATAATATCATATTAAATTTTTAGCTAGTTCAGTGTTACTACCTGTCATATTGACAATTAATATATTAGATGCTAATAGTCTAGAATTAAATTTTAGATTACCTCTTTTGAACTTGATGTCCAATAAATCCTGCTCTATGATATTTTTATCTTTTCTCTTCATTGAGTTCTCTCTCAATAGGTTTATGTTCTTCCATAAGATTTTTATTCAAAATTCTAAAAATAATTAGTACTTATTGATTTAAATAATTAATTAAGAATTTAATGCCTTAGAATAAACTATTAGTAAATATAACTTAATTTTAGATTATATTTTTATTATCAAAAAATGAAAATTAAACCAAGAATTAAATTACGTATACCTTAAAATTCAGGTCATGTATAAACAGAGGCAAGTTAAGATTAATTGTAATCAACAAATGATACACGTTTCAAAGGTGATTTAACTTATAGATAAACTATGAGAGTTAAAAATACAATTAAAGAAGCTTTGATGATCTCGAATATTAAATTAGCATTTTAAGAAGAAATGGATAAAATAAAGGAGGAAATAAGAAAACCTGAAAAGTAATAATCTATGATGTAAAATTTGTATGTTTACAAAGAACTGAAATGCTATAATAAAATAGAGTAATCATTTAACATACACTAATTCAATTAAATTAATTATTTTTAGAGAGAAAGGATAGAGATTAGGCTATAAAAATAATAAACGAAATAAGTAATTAAGTATTGAAATCAAAGATATCAGGTATAAAATATAATGATTATTTAAAAGACTTGAAGATATTCATACATCTTAAATTAGCGAAAATAGTCTTTAGTTATAATTTACTCTATTATAGTATAATCTTAGCAAAGATAGTAAAGAGAATGTCAGACAATGAGCATTTATTAAAATATAAATTATTGGCATATAAGTTGTTAGGGATTAGTTTTTATAAATTAAGAAATCGACAATCAAAAATATACTTTACGAAATATTTGATGTGTAGTTGGAAATTAAATAAAAAGAATCATGAACTGAAGGCTTATGAATATTTGGGTAAGTATTACTTTTAGGAGGGAGACATAGATAAGGCTACAATATTTCATGAGAGAATGGTAAATGGAGCTATATTGGTAATATATTTAAACTATACAATATAAGTTACCTCATTCTTCTTTAAGAGTACTGGGGATACGGAAATTGGAATAAGGATCAATAGGGAAGGGGAAGAAGAATTATGGATTAGTGGAATGTCATGAAATTAATGTTTCTAGTGATGCTGAAGGATTTGAATTGGTATTTAATGATGATGATTCTGTTCAAAATAAGATTGCTATATAAAAGATGGATTAATTGGTTTTGAATGGATAGAAACAAAGTCTCATTAATTATCCAATTAGAAAGAATTTAATATTTCAACATAGAAGTTAACATATTTTAGATAATAAAATAAAGACCAGACATTTACATCAATTACCAGTGATGTTAAATCATTTGAGTCCAAATAGATAATTGGTTAATTACTAATTTCTAGAATTGAATAAGGCTGTTCCTAATTATAAACAAATTCAGAATATTGATCCTTACTTTGACAAAAAGGATTCTTCAAGCATTGCAAATATAATTGTAAAGCTATCTCGTGTTTTGGAGTAGGTAGACATTTGGATTAAATTATGAATATATTATTATTTATATAATGGAAAAGCAATATATAGAGCAGATTACAAAATAAATAACAAGAAATTGATGAACAATTGAAATAGACTCAAAATTAGTAATGTAGAGTTTGATAACAATTTAGATATGGAATATGTATCATCTAAACTAAATGGTATTCTTATATTTTAATAATAAGAATACCATTTAGTTTGTAATCATCCAAATTATTGATTTTAACAATTGAAGAATTAGTAGGAGATTAAAACAAGAATTAGAAAGTATGTCCTAAAAATCAATTAAGCAATTCTTAATAAAATAGGTAAAAATTTATTATTAAATAAAAGGATCAATTAAAGCATGAATAAAGAATCAATAAAGAGAAAAGGAGTAATAATAATTATTTATAATTTGAATAAGAGAAAATTCTAATTGATAAATAATTTAAAGAGAGATTGAGAACTAATCATATGAAATGAATTTATTAATTTAAATATAATGGGTCTTTTGAGAAGATTATCTTAAGTATTCAAATCAGAAGTTCCTTAAACTAATAATGAACATTTGCACGAGAATCAACAGTATTCTAAGAAGGTATGAAATATCTACCAATAGATTGTTTTGGAAAATGGAGAGAGTGTAAATGTTAGAGGAAATGAAAATCAATTTAATTTAGTTAAAACAAGTAGATACACAATTACAAATTGTTTATATGTGTTGATAATTAAATTTTTTAAGCGATTTCTGAATTTGTACTTATTTGTCATCAACATGATATAATTAGACTATAATTATCTAATTTCACTCCTGTTAACATTTGGTATACATACAATAATTGAATTGTACTTCGACAATCAAAAGAGAAAAAGTGATGAAAAGATAAATTCTCGCCAAGCCACCGTATTTGCAGATTTAAAAAAAAATGTATTGAATGTTGGCTCTTCTAATATAATTAAATAAGGAGGAAGGAAATCTTTAAATTAAAATATAATTGAGCATGAAAACTTAGTTAATAATAACAATTATCAAAAGGATATATGTATGAGAAAGGTAAGTATTGATACAGTCACATATCGTCAAGATAAATAACCTAGAATTCCATTATTTACAATTAAGAGATGGGATCAACTTCAAGTGGGTGATATCATCTATTTAAAGAATAATGAAATATGTCCAGCTGATGTTTTAATTTTAGATATGGGTCAATCTGTTAGTATGGCTAGTAATACTGTAATGAGTGGAAATACAAATGAAGTTAGAAAAAGAGCTTGTCCTTTGACTACTATATCTAAGGAACATAAAATATAATTACTTGATTATCGCACTATTTTAAATGGGATTGTTAGATATGATTAAACTGATTCAGATCAATATTATAAAGGTATGGTAAAATTGAAGAAGGATCCAAAACCTTTAGAAATTAATAAAGAGAACATTTTCTTTAGAGAACAATTAGTACTTAATGATTTATACATTTTTGGAGTAATTCTTGCTGTTGGACTTGATTGTAGATGCTATAAATCATTTAAACATGTAGAAAAATATGGATATTTCGAGAATAAAGCCAATTTGTATTTCCTTATTGCCATAATCTCATTAATTGTACTCAGTGTGATTTAATATACCATTGAATATTATGGTGAACATCATTATAATTTAGAATTCTAATTAATCAATTATTCTAATTTATTACCTCTTTATTTTTACTTTCTTATTGATCTACTTTATTTTACTTAAATGTTGTACAACAATTACTTATTTTAAAAAGAGAAAAGTAATTCAAACATTAAACAATAGGAAGATAACCCCTTATTAGATAATGCACATATAAAATTAAATCATTTACATGTGAATTATACTCCCATCTCTAATTTATCATTAATTAATCATGTGCTTATTGATAAGACTGGAACTTTAACAAATCCTAATTTTAAAATAAAATGGATCTTTATATTTGATTCACTTTATAAATTAAGATACAGAGCATTTGCTGAAAAAGAATTTTAAGATGCAATTAAATAAACTAAATTGAGATAAGAATTAAATATTCCAATAGATGAAAGAATAGAACCAGAATCTACACCTGTTATAAAATGCAATAATTAAGAAATTATTTTTAAATTAGAAGAATTAGATGATGATCATCCTCCATATGATGAATTACATCGTACTTAACCTCCTAGATTCAGGCCGGAATCTTAAATTAGTAGTTAATTTGATTAAAGTGCTGAAGGAGCATAAATATAAAAATAATCTTAACCAAGAGGAAGTAGTCTAATTGTTAATAGTTTACATGAAAGTAAAAGACAATTAACATATTAAAGAGGTAGTTAAAAGTTTCATGCACCAAGAATTCCATCTAATTTAGAAATTGTTTCAGAAGTAGAGTTTTCTGGAACTGAAATCAATCTCATTAGAAGAAAAGAAGATAGTGAATTTAAACCTCATTATTTTGAAGCTATGTTTGCTTTAGTATTATGTTAAAATACAAGGTCACTTTATTAAAAAAGTGATGATTCATTCTTTTATGAATATAGTTCAGAATTAGATAAATTATAATTACATTTATGTAAACATTATGGTTTTCAATTCATTTGTAGAAGTAAATAAGAAAATTAAATGAGATATATTATTTAAGATGGTGAAGAAATTCATATCATAGAAGTTATGTCCTTACATTCTTTCAATTCCAGAAAATTCAGTATAATAATTAGATTGTAAGAAGATCTTTGCATCAAATTAGGATTAGAAAATGATGATACACAATATTTATAATACTTAAGAGATGATAGCTTAGATATGATAGGTTGTTTATCTTTAGAAAAGGATTAATTAGCTAAACTTGATCTAATGATAAAAGATTTATAATTTTAGGGTAGTAGACCAGTTTTATTTTATAGAAGTTTAATGAATGAGATTTAAATGTAGACATTTATTAAAGAAGCAAATAAATTATTAGATATTTAATCAAATAAAATTGAGTTTATGAATGAATATCAATTTTTAATGCATGAATTTGAAAAAAACTGTGATCTAGTAACTGTTGTTGGAGTCTAAGAAAAAATCAATAAGCATATAATTCCATCATTAAATGGAATCAAATCTCTTGGAGTTCCATGCTGGATTGTAAGTGGAGACAATTATGAAAAAGTATTACCAATAGCATATAAAGTTTAATTACTTAATTAAAATGATACAGTAGTTCATATATATGCAAAAACTTAGGATGAATTATTCTTATAGTTAAAATAATAGTTATAAAATTTGAGTGGATAATTAAGATCGCATTCTAATAAAAAAGATTTAAGGCATTCAGATACATTGATTCATAAAAAAGGTTCATTTACTTGTAGTCCTAGATGGATTTCAGGTGGTTAAAAAAATCTTCATATTAGATAATTTTAAATAATTATTTGTGGAGAATCTCTAGAATAGATTTTAAAGGATATTTATTTGAAGAAACATTTTTAATTTTTATTATAATTTACATCAAATTTCATAGGATATAGAATGACACCTTAATAAAAATCAATATTAATAAAATTATTAAAAGATAGAAAATTGAATTAAAAATTTATATTATCAATAGGGGATAGTTATAATGATATGAATTTATTTAATCATTCAGATTTCGTGTTTTAGATGTAATCTGGTAGATAGATATTTCCACATGATAAAAACAATTTTGAAGATCTTCAACATCAAAATGGAAGAGTTTCAATAAAATATTTGGAATAAGAATCATAATACTGTTAACACAAATAAGATCACGGTTTTATTGAACCATTATATAATAGCGATATTTATGTAAAGGATTTTGAAAAGATAAATAGATTAATAGCTATTGATTCCAGAAAATCTACTTTATATTTTGAAAGAATTTTAATATTTGCATTGTTTAGAAGTTTTGGAATAATCTACTTAATATGTGTGACATAACTAATTAGAGATCAAATCGATATTATATCTAAGGATTATCTAAAATTTCATTCAAACATTTTCTTTTTAGTTTCAAGTTCATTTATTATAAGTGAAATAAGTGAGAAAGTAGAAAATTGTAATAATAATGAATTTTTGACATTTGTATTTAAGAACAATTAAGTAGAATTAAACAATAATAAATTTAGTAAATATGTAGCTCGTATTACATTATTTCCATTAATTCAGGCATTATTAATTAATCTATACACAGAATATGCAGATCTGACAACTAAAAATGGAACAATAATGAAATCATATGAATTAGGATCAGGGTTATTTTTATTGTTATTAATAATTGATGCTTAAAAGTTGGTTTAAAGAAAATATATAACTCAGAAATAGTTTATTTTTAATATCGGAATAATATTTGGATTGTATACTTTAATATCATTACAATTTGATTCAATTTCAATAATTTATGAATGGGCAAAATCAATTTAAATTCTATTTTCATTTTTAGTTATAATTGCTCTTCATTCAATTTTTAATGTAGTGCTTTACCATGTGAATAGACCATTCTTTATGCCACTTATTATATAGACAAATAACGAGTATGATGAAATTGTAAAAATATATAATAAAATATCTGGGGATGTATCAAAATAGTTAAAATAACATAGAGCAACCATAGAGAGAATATCTTATTATGCTAGGAAACTCTTTAATGGTGATGAAGATATGGATCCAATAATTAAATAAATGTTAAGTGGTGCATTTGCTGATGAAACAGAAAACTCTATCAACTCAATTACTCTAAGATTCAAATCACAATTAGTATAAAATAAATTTACAGAAGATACACTTTAATATGTTGTACATACATATAGAATTATAGTTGCAATAACATTTTTATTCTATGAAATAGCTACTTATACAATCATCATATTAACACTTGAACATTTGTAATTAAATTATTGGACTGACTATTATTATATCTCAATGTTAGGAGTATTATTATTACTTATGCTATTTTGTTGGTCTCGCTATTATAAAATGTATTTTTTTGAAGTCAACTTTATTATCCTATTTATTCGATGCTCTTCTATAGTTATTTGGTTATTTAATTAAGATCAATCAGTTGGAGGAATGAATCTTAATATGTTATAATTAAGTTTAGCTGTTAATATTTATCATTACCAAGAATAACCACTTTTAAGTTAGGTTTTTTCAGGTATTTATGTCATAATATACTTAATCTAAAAATCTGATTAAGATGACGTCTATATTCTGATCAATTAATATGTTATGAGCATAGCAACATTATTTCTATTAGTTTTGACATTCAGAAGAATAATTCATATATTTTTAGAAGTCTTTTTAGGAAGAATTAATATGAATAAAGAAAACTAAATTATGAGTGATATTTTATCTATTCTCCTTCCTCAATTTATAAGAGATCGTATCAATAAAGCTGGTCAATATGATATTCAAGAAGATTAAGGTATGGTAGCAGTATTATTTTGTGACATTATTGATTTCGATTAATTAATTAAGAATGAATAATCTAATGTAGTTGATATATTAGATAAATTATTTAGAAGATTTGATTTACTTTGTTAACAACATGAAGTATAAAAAATTGAAACAGTAGGAAAAACTTATATGGCTGCTGCAGGACTTAAAATTCATTTAAGCTAAAAAACTAATCCAGTAAACAAAGTTATTTCTTTAGCTTTAGACATGAAAAAGTATGTTATGTCAAATGAAATCTTTTAAATTAAAATTGGTATTCATTATGGAAATGTTATTGCAGGAGTAATAGGTCATCATAAACCTTAATTTAGTTTAATTGGCGATACTATTAATACAGCCAGTAGAATATGTTCTACTGCTGAACCATGGGATATATCAATTTCAGAATAGGCATATAGATAAACAAATAAATATGAATTAGTTTATATTTAAAGAGATGTAGTTGCTAAAGGTAAAGGAAAATTAATTACATTTGTTGTAAATACAAAGAGAGGAGGGAAACAAAGAAAATAAACTATCATGATTTAAAGACCTCCTAAACAACCTTTTAGAGATCCAAAAGAATATTAAAATTTAGATTAAATTCATGAAAATTAATTAGCATCTGAATTTGGAGTTAGTTCGAATAGAGATGTGTAACCTTTAGTGACAAGAAATGAGGAACCTCAACCATTAACTCTTAATAAAAAGTAAAGAAGTGAAATTTATAATTATGTAACAAAAACATAAAAATAAATAGCACTTGAAAGTCCAAATAAATCACTTTAATAATAATTAATATTTTAATAATCTTAAGCTCAATTAATTCTAAATTAAGGAGGAGGATCATCTAAAAATTATGCATCTTAATCCTTAGTAGGAGGTATATAATCATAAGGATTTGATGATAGACATCATAAACATTAAGATTTGTTATAATTTTTAGAAAGAAAAACAAGATGTGAATTGAATGTTTCTGATTATTAAATAAATATGGAATATGAAGTTGAAAAAGATAAAGTAAGGGCAATTTATAGTGTTGATGAAGATGCTTATGGTCAAAACTTATTATTGACTCTAAATCCTAGAAAATTATATTTAGAATTTAATGAAGACACAACTGTCACCTTAGAGTTTTATGAATTTTTATCAGGATTATATAGGCCTTTTGCTGTTCAATACTTATTAACTATAGGAATATGTGTTTTAATAAGTTCAGTATCTTGTGTGAGTTTAGATGGATAAATATATGTAGCAAATTTGATAACAGGTGGAATGGTGGGTCTATTACATTTATTATTATGTACTCTTATTCATAAATAAGAATCCTTTTATAATATTATATACTTTACAATCTTAGCATATTTATTACTTGGTAGTTATGCTTTAGATTGTTTTATAATTACTGATCATTATGAAATTCAAATGGCAAAAGGTATTATATATAGTATAAGTGTTCTTCTTAATAGAGTTCTTAGACATTAATAAAAGTTGGTTTATATAGTTTTATATTTGGCAGTGACAATAGCTGCAATAATAGTGAATAATTGGCCTTGGAGTAGATTTTATTATTGTGCCATAATTTCGATATTTGCTTTTTGTATCTAATTATTCATGTTCTTAAAAAATGTTAATTCTTATAATGTCAACAAATAATTAATTGAAAAATCAATTAAATATCAATATTTATTGAATTATTTATTGCCAAAAAATGTATGATTAATTTATTTATATTAAATAGGTCCTTGAAGAATTTTTTAGACCAAATGAAGAAAAACGTGTATTGAGAGAATAGGCAGATGAAGTAACATTACTATTTGCTGATATTGCTGGTTTTACAGAATATTCGAGTAAAGTATAACCTGAATAAGTCGTGAATATGTTAAGAAACTTATTTACTGAATTTGATAAAAACTGTCTTTTACACAATGTTTTCAAACTGTATACAATAGGAGATTGTTATGTTTTAATGGGAATGGTAGACTATGGTAAAGGAATATAAAGGAATGCATCTTTGGAGGCAGTAAATGTAGTACGTATGGGATTTGCTATGATTGATGCAATTAGAAGAGTAAGAGCTCACATCAATCATCCAACTTTAGATATGAGAATTGGAGTTCATACTGTATAATCTCTATATTAATTACATATTTATAGGGATCCATAATTGGAGGCGTTTTAGGAACAGAATTAGTTAGGTATGATATATATGGGCCTGATGTACTGATTGCCAATAAAATGGAATCCAAAGGTGCGAAAGGGTTTGTTTAAGTGTCATAAGAAACAAAGGATATTATTGAAAGAGAGTTCCCTGATTTATTCAAATTCGAATATAAACAATCTATAGAATTTGAATCTATCGAAAGAAAGACATCAGGATACTATGTATATTAATGAATAACAAATTAATTATGGTTTATTGAATTCAGTTATATTGAGATATATTTGTGATTTGTTAAAAAGGAGAATCATAATTAATCCAGTAAGAAATAGGGACTATTTGAATTCCTCGAAATTTAAGTTACACTCTTTCTCATCAACCGATTTACACTTGGATTTAAGACTAATCTTTCAGAAGAGTTCATAATATTCTCTAACAATATATAACTCTTTTCTTTTCTTTCTTTCCAATATTGCTGCTCTTTTATTAAAGGATCAGTTTTTGTTCGCACTCCCAAACTATGTAGATACCTTACTATTTCCACTTCTGTCTGATAGTCTTTTTAGTCCATATAGTATTCAATTGAATCGTTCAATTCACTCGTAGTTATTGGACTACTCTATGTTGAATTACAGCTCAGAAGACTCACCACACGATTTTAATAAACTTAAGTTGGCTTCATGAAATCTTTTAGAGTATTTTTAATTAAAAATATATTTTTTTTCTTCAATTCTTAATTCAGCATATATATTTCTCCAGTATACTACACTACAGTTATTTACACAGCATCACTTCTTAATTTTGAAAATCACTTCAATAATTTCATCAATTATATCTCCCCAAATTCAAATTCATTACTTATTCTCATCTTTCACAACCATCTATATTCTTTATTTTCTTAATTTTTTTTGAATTATTATATCCCTCAATAAGAATTAATAAATTAACAGTTGAGATAATGCGTGTTGATATTATTAAATTTTTAATCTGCTTATCAATTATTTAAATTCATTATTAATTTTTTATTTTATTCCAAACATTCTATTAATCTTCTTAAATCATCACAATTTAAAAAATTTTCAATTAAGAAATTTTTCATTATCCTAAATTACTAACCCTATTCTTCTAAAATCAACTATAATAAAGTGAGGCTAAGGAATTCATTTCCTTAATTCACTGACAATAATATTTAATTTAAATTTCCTCAGAAAAAATATTTTATTTTAAAATTGAGCTTATATGCAATGGGATAATTTTTAAAGTGTTACAAAAATAATTCTTCTATTGTCATAGTTCAAATGTATAATGTATTACAAGAATATACTATTCATTAATCATAAATTTCTTCTGTAAAGTACATTAAATATTTATTTTATGTAAACAAGAAGCTTTGAATAATTAATATATATATAATTATTATATGAAGAACACAGAATTAAATAAGACAGTTGTTTTTAAATAGAGAATACTATATGGAATATAGTATTTTTTGATCAGGTATTCCTTAGCAAAATTTGAACAATCTAGCATAATTTCGTGGCATTTATATTTAATACCTCTGTTATATTATTGCCTTTCAGTATACAAAACCCAATAATTAAAGAAAATACCTCTATTTTGTAGATGAATTAATAAAACCCAATANGTTAAAAAGGAGAATCATAATTAATCCAGTAAGAAATAGGGACTATTTGAATTCCTCGAAATTTAAGTTACACTCTTTCTCATCAACCGATTTACACTTGGATTTAAGACTAATCTTTCAGAAGAGTTCATAATATTCTCTAACAATATATAACTCTTTTCTTTTCTTTCTTTCCAATATTGCTGCTCTTTTATTAAAGGATCAGTTTTTGTTCGCACTCCCAAACTATGTAGATACCTTACTATTTCCACTTCTGTCTGATAGTCTTTTTAGTCCATATAGTATTCAATTGAATCGTTCAATTCACTCGTAGTTATTGGACTACTCTATGTTGAATTACAGCTCAGAAGACTCACCACACGATTTTAATAAACTTAAGTTGGCTTCATGAAATCTTTTAGAGTATTTTTAATTAAAAATATATTTTTTTTCTTCAATTCTTAATTCAGCATATATATTTCTCCAGTATACTACACTACAGTTATTTACACAGCATCACTTCTTAATTTTGAAAATCACTTCAATAATTTCATCAATTATATCTCCCCAAATTCAAATTCATTACTTATTCTCATCTTTCACAACCATCTATATTCTTTATTTTCTTAATTTTTTTTGAATTATTATATCCCTCAATAAGAATTAATAAATTAACAGTTGAGATAATGCGTGTTGATATTATTAAATTTTTAATCTGCTTATCAATTATTTAAATTCATTATTAATTTTTTATTTTATTCCAAACATTCTATTAATCTTCTTAAATCATCACAATTTAAAAAATTTTCAATTAAGAAATTTTTCATTATCCTAAATTACTAACCCTATTCTTCTAAAATCAACTATAATAAAGTGAGGCTAAGGAATTCATTTCCTTAATTCACTGACAATAATATTTAATTTAAATTTCCTCAGAAAAAATATTTTATTTTAAAATTGAGCTTATATGCAATGGGATAATTTTTAAAGTGTTACAAAAATAATTCTTCTATTGTCATAGTTCAAATGTATAATGTATTACAAGAATATACTATTCATTAATCATAAATTTCTTCTGTAAAGTACATTAAATATTTATTTTATGTAAACAAGAAGCTTTGAATAATTAATATATATATAATTATTATATGAAGAACACAGAATTAAATAAGACAGTTGTTTTTAAATAGAGAATACTATATGGAATATAGTATTTTTTGATCAGGTATTCCTTAGCAAAATTTGAACAATCTAGCATAATTTCGTGGCATTTATATTTAATACCTCTGTTATATTATTGCCTTTCAGTATACAAAACCCAATAATTAAAGAAAATACCTCTATTTTGTAGATGAATTAATAAAACCCAATAATTATATTCCTCCACATGTGCTTCAACACCCCAAATTCTTAATAATGAAGAATCAAGCAAAACTACAATCTTTCTGAAACTTTGTCATACATAAATCTATTTCTAAACGTTTGGTACCAAGATTATATGAATGTTAAGAGGCATATTTGTTTTTCTAAATTTTCCCTCATTCACCATGATAAGAAATATGAAGAATTTCATTTCTTTGTCTTTATTTTTAGTATTTTTAATGTTTTATAAGTATTCATTTTCTGGAATAGAAAAACAAAACAAATTACTGACAAAGCTCAATATCCATAAACGAAATAATTCATTTTAATTAATTATTTTTTATATATAAATAAATTAATCATGTTATCTTCTACTTTGCTTATAATTTAATTGATTTCTATCCCATTTCCAAAGATTGAGATGTAATTCCAAATATTTAAATATATCTTTTACAACATTGAGTTGAATTGGAATTAAAATATCTAACAGCCACCTTTTTTTATTCAATATTTGGAAAGCTCAAATATTATTTAAGATTTTGTATTGGTCCAAAAGATTGTAAGATTTCAATAATGTTTATTTTATCAGATGGAACATCTAATAATAGTATAGATTCTAATTAACATTTTTTCATAGCCTTTTCTAAGAGTTTAAGATCATGTTTGACAGGGTTTAATGATTCAATTAATTCATTTTGATAAGATTTTAATAATTATTATATACTAATCTTATTTTAGCAATTATGAGTCTATAAATCTTTATTCATTAAGAAATTGAAGCAATTCTTACAATAATTTAATTCAAAATCACAATTCGAATGCATTTCTATTTTAGTACATCCAAATTAAGAATTACGACATGAACCAGTATTACAATTATGATTTAGTAATTTAACATTCTACAAAATACAATTACATTTATTGCATTGTTTGTATGAATACATACATTTTTAGAGATGATAAAATACTTGATGAGCCTCGAATTCTTCACCACAAAATTATGGACATTTAATAATTCTATTTTAACAAATATCTTTATGAATATCTAATTCTTATGCACTAAATTATCCATCACAATTAAATGGACATGATATAAGATTACAATATTTTTACTAATGAAGTTTAAGATCTTTAGTTTTACCTTTCCATTAACAATGTGGACATTTAACTTCAATGTTATCAATCAAAAACATAGTATTAAAATCAATTAAACTAAATTTCAATTTTTAATTNCATAAATCTATTTCTAAACGTTTGGTACCAAGATTATATGAATGTTAAGAGGCATATTTGTTTTTCTAAATTTTCCCTCATTCACCATGATAAGAAATATGAAGAATTTCATTTCTTTGTCTTTATTTTTAGTATTTTTAATGTTTTATAAGTATTCATTTTCTGGAATAGAAAAACAAAACAAATTACTGACAAAGCTCAATATCCATAAACGAAATAATTCATTTTAATTAATTATTTTTTATATATAAATAAATTAATCATGTTATCTTCTACTTTGCTTATAATTTAATTGATTTCTATCCCATTTCCAAAGATTGAGATGTAATTCCAAATATTTAAATATATCTTTTACAACATTGAGTTGAATTGGAATTAAAATATCTAACAGCCACCTTTTTTTATTCAATATTTGGAAAGCTCAAATATTATTTAAGATTTTGTATTGGTCCAAAAGATTGTAAGATTTCAATAATGTTTATTTTATCAGATGGAACATCTAATAATAGTATAGATTCTAATTAACATTTTTTCATAGCCTTTTCTAAGAGTTTAAGATCATGTTTGACAGGGTTTAATGATTCAATTAATTCATTTTGATAAGATTTTAATAATTATTATATACTAATCTTATTTTAGCAATTATGAGTCTATAAATCTTTATTCATTAAGAAATTGAAGCAATTCTTACAATAATTTAATTCAAAATCACAATTCGAATGCATTTCTATTTTAGTACATCCAAATTAAGAATTACGACATGAACCAGTATTACAATTATGATTTAGTAATTTAACATTCTACAAAATACAATTACATTTATTGCATTGTTTGTATGAATACATACATTTTTAGAGATGATAAAATACTTGATGAGCCTCGAATTCTTCACCACAAAATTATGGACATTTAATAATTCTATTTTAACAAATATCTTTATGAATATCTAATTCTTATGCACTAAATTATCCATCACAATTAAATGGACATGATATAAGATTACAATATTTTTACTAATGAAGTTTAAGATCTTTAGTTTTACCTTTCCATTAACAATGTGGACATTTAACTTCAATGTTATCAATCAAAAACATAGTATTAAAATCAATTAAACTAAATTTCAATTTTTAATTTGCTTAAAAAAATGGTAATTAAATCATTACTTAAATAATTTGAAACATTTACTCTACAAAGAGGACAATTCATAGCTTATTTACTAACCCATTCATCAAGACAATCTCTACAGAATGTATGTTTACAGTCTGGTAAAATTATTGGTATATCAAAAAGATTATAACAAATTGAACAAGTGAGTTCTTCATAAGGGGATTGAACAGAAGGATGTTCAATTATTTAAGTAAAATAATCATCTTCAAACAATTCTTTAAGAATTGCCTCCTATTTTGATACTTACATTTATGAATTTAATATAAAGAATTTTTAATAGAGAAAATTAAAATACTAATTTTATAATACAATGGAAGATCATTAATTACTCTCCTTTATCAATAAAAGAATGTAATTTAGTTAACTAAAATATTAAATAAATGTAGAATCTATGTTATTTGATTCAAACAATTAAGAGATAAGTAAATTGTGAAGTAAATTATAATTCAAGTTAAAACAATTAATCAAATATTTTAATAACACATCTAACTTTTCTAGATAATTTAACAATAAAATTTAGTAGTAGATCATATAAGTGCTTTAGTTTGTAAAAATATTTTAGTAAATGGTTTTATAGAAAGGAGACTGTATATTATTTCTCTTTTATTTTAGTACTACTAAACTATTTAGAACAAGAGTTTTTAATACAAAATAAAATTGTTTAGCTTTAGCAACAATCTAATTTAAGAATTATATGATGAATACATTAAGAATATTAGATTTGAAGGATACAGCATTAGAGGAATTGCTGAAAGTAATCGCATTTATAAAAATATATTTTAAGGATTAGAATATTGAACTTTAATTTGATTTAGAAGAGACTTAATAGTTTATGAATAGGCAAACATAAGAAGAATAAAATGGTATTATTTTGAAGAATATAAAAAGATTTTATTAGAAATTATATCTTATTTAATTTGAAAAATAACAAAGGCTTTATTTAAAATTTGAAATTATGGAGATTGAAATACAGAGTTTAAAATAATGATTAATTAAAATCGAATACAAACATCTAAGTTCATTTTCTTGATTGGTCAGAATAAGTTAAGGATATTATAGATAAATTATAGATGACTTATTATTTTAAATTAGGAAAGTTCTATTTAGCAGATGTAAATGATAAATTTGCATTTAAACCATTAAATTGTATATCTTAGATATATGAAAAAAAGAAGAATAATTTTGTTATAATAGATTCTTTGTAAAATCTTATTAGAAATCATGTATATGATTATAATAAGATATAAGTTATATTTGGTAATAAATCTCCTAAAGAAGTTTTGATATCTTTTCTTGAGATTTTGGATTGGTGTTAGGACATCTTAAAGTGGGAGAAAGTATTTATAAATTGAAGATTTAGATAATATAAAACTTTGTTGAGAATATTAAAAAAGAATATTAAAGAACAATATCATACAATGATAGTTCAGGAGATGGAGGTTTTGAAATGGAAGAATATCTTGAAACAATTCTTACTGATATTATTACTAAATATGAAGAAAGAATAGATAAATAAATAAATTATAAATTTATTGATATTGATTAATTAGATAATTAGAAAATAGAGGGAATTCTTTATGAAATAACAAAAGATGGTATAGATTTTTATAATGATGAATTTATGATATGTGGAAGTGTTTAATTTTCAGTGTAATAAAAAAGTAGGTTGATTGGTAAAATAGGATAATTAGTAATGGATATGCCAGAAATATAAAAGTAATTGATTTGAAATTAATTAGAATAAATTTTATAATGAATGAATTAAGTTAGGAATATTTATAAACTTTATGGTAATGTAAAAATTTTAAGGAAAAGTTAATTAAGTAAAGATAATATAAAAATTAGATTATTTTTATTTAGAATAAGATATTAGATAGAAATAGAAAATTAAAGGTAAGAGAGATTAGATAAGGAAATATTAATAGAGATATGAACAATTTAGTAGAGTGAATAAGTTTAATTATTATTAATAAATTAATTAAATAATAAATATATAAAATGGCAGAAACAAAAGAAGAAGTTAAAGCTTAGCCAAAAGTGTATTCATATGCAGACTTAATTGAATTTGAAAATAAATAAGCTTTTAGTTCTATAGGGAAAATGCCAATTTCAACAAAGTAAACACTACCAAGTTACAGTTTCGGTTCTGCTGAACGTGCAAATTAAGCAAAACTTTATCATAATAAAGAACTAGCAAGGATAGATTTTGCAGGTATGATAAGTATATAAAACAAATAGGAAAATCAAGTCCTGGACCAGTTTATAATGTGAGAGGAGGAGATCAATTTTATTATACAAAAGACGCAGATACAAAGATCGGAACAGAGGCTCGCAATACTCTTAATACAGGAGCTAAATTTGATTATTATTAAAGGAAGGATGTAGATGTAAAACTATAATTGTTATTAAAAAGTTTGAACCATAAGAAGCTGATTTAATTAGAAAAACAAAAGCAGCATCAGTAAAAATAGGATTAGAATCAAGAGTATTTATTAACTTTTAATATTTATTTTAATAGTTTCCTCCTGAGAAAAGATTAAAAGGAACACCTGGTCCATAATATGATCCAGCTATAAAACCAGAAGTTCCAACTCCACCTTAATTTTCTTTTGGATATAGAAGAGATATTCCTGGAGCATCTGCATTAGCACCAACATGTTCAACTCCAGTTATTGTTGGACCTGGAGCTTATTTATAAAAACCACCTGCTAATACAAGTAATTTAGAAGATGCCTCTCATTGGACTATTCCTAAAGGACCTAAAATAGGAAAAATCTTTGAAGGATGGGATAAAAATCAAACTTATGATACTAAATAGTAAACTTAATAAGATAAAAAGGGTTGCCGTCGGAGTATAAGTTAATTCTAAAAAGAAATCATATCCTGCATTCAGTGTTGGGAAATCAACTAGAGAAGCTAAAGTTGGACATTTTAAATAATTAATGGTCAAAGTCCCTTCAAAGGTACACATTCCTCATCCTAAAATTTGATTATTTAAAATACATATAATATATTATTATATAAATCTATATATATATTATATTATTATTATTTTATAGATTTATTTAAATAAATTTATATTCATATTATTTAATTATCATAAACTAATATGGGTTCTACCTCTAATGTTTACACATTCCCATTAATATTATTTAAAACAATCCTAATTGCAAAACCATTAACCTATATCATAATATGCTTAAGCAATATCAATTTATTTAGCACATGATTGAGATCGACAGAGATACTAAAATTTATATTTAAATTTATTTTACTATGTTTTGTAATTTAAATTATTCAACACACTCCTTTGTACAAAATTCTTTTCCATTTATATTTATTACATATTTCTAATCAAATAATCTATAACATTAATAACATGATGTTTTATCTATAATAACTGGTTAGTAATCAGTTCCTTAATTTTAATCATAATCAATATCAAACATTTTCCATTCATTTCCTCCTGATAATAAAAATTTCATTTTATTTCTTTATTATTCTTCTTTTTTATTCTGTCTACTTGAAATATACCCTAAAGATTCATCTTCTATCAATATTTCTTCTGTATGTTATATTGCTTATTCCTTCTATTCTTTTTATTACTTCTATTATTATTATCTATATTCCATAACTGCTTCTTAAAATAATCTATGTTATTCTTCCTCATCATATATTTCTGAATTCTCTATCTCATTTATATGACTCTACGATTCTTTTAAACGTTATGCTTGTTTTTAAGATTATATAACTCTTTTTTCTTCAATCTCAGTTAATTTTTACACACGATTCAATAGTTTTCTTGCTTCCATAGGTGGTATATTCATATCTTTTAAATGATCCACAGATATTTCTTTTAACAGATCCATTTCATCAAAACCATTTTCAAGTATCACTCCTGCATGTTTATCAAGATTAATTGATGTAAGGAATTTCACAACTTCATTACAGTATTCTAACTAACCTAAACTTCTAACATTTACATTATTAGACTTAAAGTGCACGTTTCAAATTTTCATTTGCTGAATTCTTCCCTGCTAAATTCAAACTCTATGTCAAATAACTCTCATTCTATGCTCTTTAACTCTCTGATTATTTGCTTTATTTTGATAATGAACTTGAACGAGATGAAGGTCGAGATACTACTTTCCCTAATTTATTTTTCTATTGTAATGTCTTTGCAACTTCTCTATGTTTCTCTAAAACATGTTTCCCATAATCTATTGTATTTACTAGCCATTTACTTCTCAAAGGAACATTTGTTGATGCTGCTGACCATCTTGTCGATCCTTAACTTACTAACATTCTTTCTTTATTAGACTCTTTTTAAGATTACAATATTTGTTTCAGTCCTACTATTCTTTATTCCTACCAGAATATATAATAATCTAACCATGATATCCACTTCTACTTATAATTTTTAAGTGTTTCCTTTACTTTGACTCTTCTTTTTCATTATTAAATTTATTATTCTTATTATTATTCTAATCTTATTATTATTCTAATCTAATTATTTATAAGTTCTCTAAAAAATTATTATTATTATTATTATTAATATAATAACAAATTAAGTTAAATAGAATCACAAATTTAATATAACAATCAATAACTTTTATAAAGTTTGATTGTTTTCTAATTTCATAAAAGTTCGTTAGATTTAATTTGTAAACTGAAAATATGAATAATAATTGTAATATAAAAAACTTAAATTAATATATATATATCAGTAGAATTCAAAAATAGTTTTAATATAAAATGAAACATGCTTCTTATAAATTTGCTGATTAGAATAATGTTATAAAAGATCCAATAATTAAGAAGGATTATTTTTATCTCTCATTTTTTTAGCTACATTAGAGATAGTTGATCTATCTAAAGAATGATTAGACTTTGCTAGATAAATGAGTTCACCAACATTAAATTAAATTGTAGTAGTTTCCGGACCTTTAAAATTAAAAGCAAAGTCTTCCTCTTAAAATTTAGATAATTAACTATAATTAAGATCGATATAGGCTAAGATTAGTTCAGGAATACCACGAATCATTCCTCTAACAATTAAATAATCCCAACATCTTATACAATCTTCCATTTTGAATACATATGTGAAAAGAGATAAAATCATTTTACTAAGCCAAAAAGAATCACTTATATCACTTAAGTTAAGTTTTGGAAATTTCTTTTTAATTTGATAATGTATCAACTTAGTCAAATAAAAATGAAGAGGCATTTCATTAGTGAAAGCAAAACATAGAAGGTGTTATTCATTAATAAGCATTTACATAAAGGCTTAAAATACTTGATGTTCATCACAACCAGATACAATAAGAAGAACAGCACAAATAAAATTCATGCCTTAACAATAACCCATTGATGGTAAAGCATTTGATATTGCCCATAGAATTCTTTTTAATTATTCTTATCCACAACTTTTATGTTTAAATAATGCATAATCAACAAGAGTACGATCAATATCTTTTATAATATTAGATATGTCTGTTGGTGGATTTTCTAAATATTTTTCATATGGAATATTTGGTTAAGTTTTTGTTAACAAATTCAACCAACTAAGCCATCTTAATTATTTAGGTGGTCCTAATAAGACTAGTTCCTTGAATTCAGGTTTAACAATTAAAGAATCAATAGTTTGTTATGAATCATTAATCATACTAAGATTATTATTAACAGCTTCTGACCATTTTGATTAAGCTAATTTGTTACGATATTAAGGCAGAGCTTAACCACATTCATATAGAGTGAAAAAATCTGGGTTGTTTTCTTTATCTATCAAAGTTTATATACACGAGCCAGATTTTAAATCTTCTCTATTCCATTTTGTTTTTGTTTTTGGTTAAGTGTGATGAATTCGATTGACAGGTATTTCAGCTAAACAGACATTGTTATTTCCCATTTTTAGATAAATAAAAATATTATTAAATAGATAAGGCTCAATTAAAATTAAAAATCTCGTTAATTAAACAATTAGCTTTATCTAAGGCCTCAGAATTAGTTTTTACTTTCTTTTTCTAAACTTTTATTTGTTCACTTGATTCACTTGTTTCAGAATTATTATCTAAATTTTATTATTTAATTGTCCTTTTTCGGAGGTTTATTGTGTTTTGATCATTTTCATTGTTAATTTTACATTTTGATGGAGATTCTTTCTTTTAAGTCTTTCTAGACTTCTTGCCTATCTTAATTTATTCACCGAACTAACGTATAATCATATTCTCAAGTTCTTCAAAAGAATCATATATTCCTTGTTTATTTAATTCAGATTCTTCTACTTAACTTTTTATTGATTCTATTTTATCTTTTATTGGCTAATATTCTTGTTCTACTCCTTTAACTAGATTTTGTAATTTCAATATTTCTTGATTTTTTTCTATAACACTTTATTTGAGTTTGTTTAACTACTTTATAACTAAAATAGGATTTTAGATATTACTCTCTTAGTTTTCAGAATAAATTTGGTCACATTGTTATTAGAAAGACTCAATCATTATTATTATGTCTGTTATTTAATATATTTTATATCATTATAATCTTGATAACGCACTTAAAATTTGTGGAATTTCCATGAATTTGGGTTTTAATTATTACTTAACCTAAATATTGGGGAATTTTCTTAAGTTTCTCAATATTTGAAGCACATAAGTCATATTTTCATTAGTATTGACTTATTCTATAGCATATGCTATTATATCAGGTAATAAATCTTTCATTTAATATCTTACAAATTGTAATTTTAATAGCAAACCATATTGATCAAATTTCATATATTTTTGAACATATTGCTCTTTGTTATTTTTATTTGTATAATTATAAGTTTACGCAAGAATATGAGCTAAAATAGAATATAATTAAATAGATACCTAGACGATTTAATTCACAAGGAGAAGCTAAATCAAATTTTGAAGATTGAATACACTTTTCAAAATATTATTTTGAGAGAGTGAAAAATCTTTCCAAAACAGCTGACGAATAAACTTATTCTTATTAATCTTTAATAGCTTTTTTAACAATTTTCAAATGACATTCTCTTGCTTCTTAAGTAACACTTTATACACCCTTATTAAATAATTGATTAAGAAGTAAATCCTATAATGAATATAATTACAATAATACTTTTTTATCATGCATTTTAAGGAATTAACTGTAATTCTTAGATAATTGTTTTAATCCTCCATCTACTAAATTAATGTCAATAATCAATTTTTCATAGGTGATAGCTAATTATGGCTTGAATTTCTATAGTTCAAGACCCTTCTCCTAAGATTAATGTATTAATTATAAAGCAAGAACTTTGAGTTCATTATTGCCTTTATAATTAAGAATACGTATAAGAGCACCAACTAATTTTAGAATATAGATTTGAAGTTATTGATAATCAGCAGATCTAATTAAGATTTTCATGAAGTCATAAGCGTATTTAAATGTTTCTTCTTTACCAAACACAAAACTATCAATTAGCATAGAAACATAAGGTTCTATTCCTGCTCCATCTTAAAGACTTAATCCAGGTATTACATTATTATTGATACGATTCATAAAGCAAGTATGAATATTACGCATATTATCAAAATGATGTTGCTTATCTAATGTATTATTAATTGCATAAAGAATCTTATTAGCTAAATTGTAGAATTACTCTAATTATTACTTAGAGAGACTATTTGATTAAAGGTATAAGAAAGGAGTGACTTTTTCAATAATTGCTTATGAAAATTATTAATGATCTTCAGATGTATTTTTTAAGAAGTATTACAAAACTTCCAAGGGAATAAGACAATGTTTATAATCATTTGGATGTGCTTCTGATTCAAAAATAGGTTTACTCTTAATTGATAATTATCTAAGAATATCTTCAATAAATAATGCTAAATAATTTTCAATATCAGATTTTATGTGAATACTCAATTATTAAATACAATAGATGAGTGATTCAGTTCTGTCATTCCATTCATTGTGATCATTAAATTCAGCACATAAATAAAGATCATTAAACAATATTTGAATAGGTATTTTGTTTTCATATTTTTTATAAATGACACTTGAGAATGTAGAAGCATTATTAGTGAGAATATCAATTTTAAATTAATGTAAAGGTGGTACTAAAATCAATACAATTAAATAGTGTAATACAAGAGTCTAATTTAATGAACACAATCTTTAAAATACTTCTAAATAACCTGAATATTTTGGATCATTTTCATCCATAGCAGCTAATTCAATTAAATAAGGTTCAATTATCAATTCAACAAAAGTAGTTTATTTTACTTTATTAATCATTGTTCCAATAGATTAAAATAATTATTACTTAATCATATTATCTTTACAGAATATATATATTCTTGAATATTCAATAAATTGATCTCTGTATCTTGTAGCTATATCTAATGAAATGTGTATATAAATCTAATTCAATACTGAATAAGCTCCCTTGACTAAGGATAAATTGTCTTAGTAATTTTATAAGACAAATCCAATATGATTGAATGCTTCACTCATTTATGTCTCACCATATTTTTCACAGAAATTTCTAATACTATTAATACCATTTTAGACAACACCATCTCTACTCATAATATTACATAATTAAATAACATATTGTTTAAGTCCTTTCTTTAATGTTTTTGGAGTATTATCTATAAATTCTTTCCAAATAGCAACAGCATTTTGTCTAACCACATCAGCAACATCTTATTACATTGTATACAAAGTCATCAAATTCAAATAATATAAATCAATATTAATATATTATTGACTGTCTGGATTGTTTAATTGAGCAAATACATACTTCTGAGTTATTTTAAGCATTTCTCCGCTCAATATAGTTCCTGCATTACGTTTCTTTGCATCCTCATTTAACATTGTTTCTGTTAATGATGGATATAATAATTCATTTTATAATATACCGAAATTCTTAATTAAAATCTTTAACACTCTCAAAGTAATACTACTTACAACATCATCTTCATGACTTACACATTCATAAACATTTTCAATCACATCTTTAACGTAATTCTCAAACTTCTATTATAAAATACTTGGAATATAAATAAATATTCCTATATATCCTTCTTTAACAAATATTTCAGGTCTTTAAATTTAAGTGAATATAAATTAAAGTGATTCCTCTAAAAAGGTATCTCCATGAATACATGATATTTCAGCAAATGCATGAGCTGCCCCTGATCTCTTATTTGTACTTGCTTCCTTATTTTCTAATACATCCCATATAAATTTAAAGAATTACTTAGTATTCTCAATTCCTATCTTTTTAGATAATTAACCTATTGCTTTTGCTGCTACTGTTCTAACCTCTAATAATGGATCTCCTATTACTACTTCTAATCCACCAACAATTAAATTCATATATGGTACTAGATCATCACTTTTCTATATCAAATGAGGCAAACCTCCTATTAATATTGATGCTTAACTCCTTTAATTACTATCTTATGCTCTTAAACCATAATCTATTATTGGAATCAATAATGACATTGCTGGAGCATCTATATAATGTCTAAACTTTGTTTCCAATACTACTTATAATCCTCTTAAATTCTCATCATATGGATTTGATAATGAAATAATCAATATATCTGCAATACTAGAAATTTCAGGATTCTTTATTGTTGATCCTATTTCATTCAATGATTTATTTGCTTCTGCTTTTACATCAGGATGAGTATCAGAAATCGCTTTTGATATAGAATTTACAATCTAAGGGAGACAACTTGATAATTATTTTGGTGAACAATGTGCCAAATGTCCTAATGCCCAAATATTTGCCACTTTAGCTCTCCATTATGTATCAGAATCTAAACCTTCAAGTAATGGTTAAAGCATTATCTTAACTCCATAACTAGAGAGTGATTATAATAATCTACTAGCATTCGTCATTGCTAAATTACGTACTTCTACTTTTCCTTCTCCAAAATATTTCATTAAAATTCCCATCACTTTTAATACATATGGTTCTAATATTTTCTAGAATAAATCAATCATTGCTTATAATTATATCAAAACATAAAATTTATCTTCTAAACTCTCCTTTCTCTCTTTTACTTCTAATAATTCAAATATTCCTAACTTTTCCATCATTTCCACTCCTAACCCTTTTATTAAACCTGCTATCATATATGCATTTCCTCTCTTTACATTCTCATCCTTCTCTAATTTATTAGATTTCAACAATTCAATAACAAGATTCTCTGTATCAGGGAAAAAACTCAATAACTCTTATAATGAACGGGCTAATTCCAATTGTGAATCTTTATCACTATTTCTGAACAATTAAACAATTTATTCTTAAGTTTTTCTTTAGTTGTGTCCTTACAAAAATTATGACAATACGCCCAAATATGTTATAGCACGTATTGATGCACATACATTTTTAGATTAAAGATGAGCTTCTATTTAAATTAGAATATCATTTGAATTTTCTTTACCAAGTAATTTTATTAATTAAACACCTGCCTCTCTGCAAAGTACTGCCAATTATTGCCTTTCTGGAGTTGATGAATATTAAATTAATAAATCTATTGTTTTTCCTATCAAATGTTTAGGATATATATTTAATTATTTGCTAACAAAATAAGGAAAAAATTCCAATTATTCTTCTTATAATTATTAATCAACAACTAATTTAGATGCTGCTTATATTATCATTTCTGGAAATCCATTTACTTCATTCAAAATGTTAATCATGACTTCACTATGTTCTCTAGGGAATTTCTTCACAAAACTAACTATATCCCATTTTTAGAGCTAATTCAAAACTTTAAATTCTTTATCTACAAAAGGTAAAGCAGCTTCTTTGGTTTCATCAAATTCAGCCAAGACTCTAACTTTAATATGAATATCAAAATTATCAGGCAAACTTGGTATTGTTTTTAAGATTAAATTTTAAGCTTCTGGAACTAGATTCAAAATATTATTAAAAAATAAATCATAATGTTACTAACTATCCTTATTAAAGATCAATTATAACACATGTCCTGCATTTTTTGCATGTCCACAAATATTTATATTTACAACAAATGGTGTAAAATACTCATTTATTGTTAATTAATCTTTATATTTTAAAATAATTGAAAAAGTCTTAAATTTTGTAATAGGAGTAAAAGCATTTTAATTTATTATGTAAAGATTCATTAAATGAATTAGATGAATTGGTGGATTTTAGATTTCTTTCAAAAGACAATCTTAAAATTGGTTAATTTTTTCTAAGATTTTGTCGTTTGGTATAGAATTCATACTACGTTCTAAAAAGAAAAAAGTAAGAGGCCATTTAAATTACTACAATAATGGATTAGTTTCAAAATATTTTAATAGGAACATACAGCAATCATATCTTGTGGAGATTTCTTTTGCAAAAGCAGATATTTAATTAAAGTATTTAGTAATAAATTATTCTTTGGACTTTGTATATAGTATACCTTCAAATAATTTTAAACATAATGAATATTATTAACACATTTTATTCTTTTATTTTAATAACATTTGTTACTTTGCTTCTCCTTCATCCATAAGTACTGCATTATTGTTTTCAAATTTTTTAAGTTCTTACTATAATTACAATTCAGATTCATCAAGTGGCTTATCATTAGTCATTACTTTTAATCCTGATTACTATAAATTAGTATGATTTAACTATTATATTTATATCTATTCCAATTATTCATCTAAGTGATCTAAACTACTTAATTTATTAATATTATTAGGATTAACCCATTCTTCAATAGGTTTAACAATATCATCAATAAAACCTTAATCAACTAAAAGTCTGCAATAATTAATAGTAGATTAAACTGTATAAGGATTATTGCTCATCAATCCACGATTTGTAAACCAACTTATTGGATTCACTTCAATATCATATTTTGGTAAATTGTTTTTGAATTGAGAAATGAATGTATGTGAAAAGGTTGTGTAGATGTATTATGGATTTTCAATTTAAGTATTTGCAATTTAATTTTTAATCAATCTTACAAAATGAACTAATCTGTCTTTCCTGAAATTTATTCCTTCACCTTAATATGGGTTGATTTAATATAGAAATTCATGTAATGTCTTAAATATTTTATTGTAAAGTATATTAATATCGATTGCTTAAAATAGTTTTAATAATTCTAATGATTATTTCACATTTACACTATTCTTAACTTTTCCACTAAATGCAATTAAAGTAATCAATGGCAATAAATAATTAAATTGATCATTTTCATCATATGTTATTGCTTAATATACTAATAAGCAATCCAAAAATAATTAACTCTCATTTTAACATGATGGGGATATCAAGTATTTTAATTAACACAAATGACTTTTAGAATTGAAAATGTCTGTATTCTTATTAAGATTTTCATTGATTGTAATCATCAATTTGGCTGGAGCATCTTCTTCACAAAAAAGAGCATATAAAACAACACATTTTAATTAGGCTAAGAACATTACTGGTTAAGTAACAACTTTAGCAAAGTTTTTAAACTAAAATATTATATATAAATGAATTTACATTAGTAGCTAATCCATTAACAATTAATTCCATTACAGATTCTAAATCTTTACTATTTGATTCTTATTACTTTTCTAATAACCAATCAACAACCAATAGTGAGACAAATGTATTTGTATACTTATTAATTGTTAATAATTTTTTTAAGTGAGCCCAATTTCCTAAAGGAACTTTAAGATCTCTCATTCTTTTAATTAAGTCAAATACTTTTTGATCATCATTAAGCACAGTAGCCAAATTATAAATTAATTCAATTTATTTTTCACATCTATGAGGCAAAGTACTAAGGAAAGCAAATTTTCTATTTTCATCATGTGTACCTTGTATCATTTTTCCAATAAATGTAACAGCAGTACTTAAATCTCCTTTGATACAAGAATGTGCTAATTTTAAACAAGTGATTGATAAATCATTCTTAATGAATTCTGTTAAGGCATTATGTATGGCTACTAATTAAGGTGTAATATCATATTGTGTTTGTGCTAATTCTGTGAGTACAATAATTAAAGTGTCCATATTTTATTCTGATCTTTTAAGGAGACGAAGACATTATTCAATACATTAATTAGTTAGATTGTCTTACAAGGCTTGATAATATTAATGCTTGAAAGTAAGTGAATCTTGAATAGAATAAAAATAGAAATACCTGTTTTTCTAAGTTTGGAATCAACAAAGAATTCTTCTTTAAGTTTGTCAAATAATAATTGTCCCTGCTATTATGATGTCAAAATTAATGAATTTTTCTTATTAAAATCAACAACTCCTTGAGGTACACTTTCATTGATTTTCAATTTATGTTTTAATTTAAGATGAAAGTATTGTGGTACTAGATGTGGTTTTTTGAGGAATCTAAGTAATCTTTTGATTTTATGTGAGTCATAATTTAAGTTTTCAATGTTTTAGAATAAATCCGGATATTAGTCAGGAGTGAGAGATTGTAAATAGTGTCTTAATTAAGCATTTGGCTTGATGTAAGAATATTGAAATCGTTTAAGAAGTTCATAATAATCGACTTACTCCATTAATTAAAATTTAATAAATTAAATTTATGTAAGAAAGTGTATATAAATGTGTACATTGTAATAATATATATTTAATGACATTTATCATTTCTTCTTAAGGAGTGCAATAACTCGTTCCATTAAATCTTTGATGAAAATAGTGGTTTACGTATTTGGTATCTATAAAGTGTTTTACTAATATTGAATCAATAACTAGAATGATAAATATAGAATTACTTGATCAAGATCTTGAGTGTCAGAAGCTTCAATTTTATTCATGAATTCATCAGTCAGCTCAAATATATGATTGGTCTATCTAAATTTGATAAGTGGTGTAATACATTCATAGGACTTGATTTTGGCAGGGGAGTTGAATAAGCTCCACTCTTGGTAGATTCTAATCCTAATTAATTTTGATCATTGTTTCCAAACATAAACAAAGCTCCATTTTTAATCAGTACAGCTGAATGATGTCTCCCACATGCAATCATTTCTCCATTAATTTATAATATCTATGGTGTATCTTATTATTTATAATCTCCTAATCCTAATTATCCAAATTATCCTGATCCAAATACATAGATTTATCCATTATTTTATAATACCATACTATGAGCCTCTCCACAAGCAACCTCTCTAATATTCTATAAAGATGTTATATGATTAGGTTTACTACAATCATTACTATTACCATGTCCTAATTATCCTTATAATCCTCTACCCCATGAATATACATTTCCTTAAGTATCAATTGCTAACACATGAAATGTTCCTAATGCCAATTTTACTATCTTTTAATTTCCAAGAGATGTTATTGGAGATGGTAATTTCATATATTTAGCAAATGCATTCTATCCTAGACGACCAAATTCATTACTACCCCATGAAAATAATCGACCTTCTTCATCTATTGCCATTGTATAATTGTGTTATGCATAAATATCAATAATTCTAGGAAGATTATCTAAATCTAATTAATGAGGTATTGCAACAAATTGTTCTGAAGCATCAAAACCCAATTATTAATATGCATTTGAACCCCATACAAATATCTTATTTTCATCTTCTACTTCTATCAATGCTACACTATGATCTAATCCAACTGCTATCTTCTACAGTTACCATCCATATTAAGATGCTTCACTAAATATGTCAAATAATGTTGGTGTATTCACTGAATTATTCATTCCCAATTTTCCCTATTTATTTGAACCACTAATATTCTCTTTTTCTATTACCATCCAAAAACCTATGTCTCTGACCATGCAAACCAATGCTCTTTAGATACTGCTATCTATTCTATCTCCTCTAATTCTAATTACTATGCTATCTGTATCCCTTAACCCCACATAAACACCTTCCTTTGGATTGTTATACAAAATGTACTATCTCCACCACATGTTACCTTTTATTATTATTCTATTACATATTAAATTTATTCCTGCATCGAACTCTATGTTGGAATACATACTCTGCTTTATTTGGATTCCTGAATCATTATTAGATTAATGAATTAATTAAATTCTGATCTTAAATCATAAATCATAGACTATTTCGAACAATTACAAAACAAATTGAATCAAACTGGCTATTCTGACATTCGTGTTATACTACCTGATGATATCTCTGTTGCATTTAAATACATCGCTCGCATTTTAGATTAATTTATTGAGTAAAATACTTATGTATATAAAGATTACATCAAGAAATTATTGAATAATATGATCTATTGGAACAATCATTATAAAAAGCTGAATCTGAAATTCGATATCATATCCATGTTCATTTTATCATTTATTTCAGGTTGAATAAAGATTAAAGATTCATTGTGATTAAATACAAGAGAGTCTTACTCTAAAAGAAGAACAATATAAAATTCTATAAATGAAAATGGAAGTATTTATTCATTCAAATATAAGCTTTAAGAAAAATAAATTATATAACTCAAAAAAGAGATTGATGTTGCCTCAAAAAGGCGAATAGACACAGAAAAGAGTGTAACTGATACTCAATCAAGAGTACTTATATTTTCTTATTTAAGTAATGTTTAATGATAAATGGAATACCTTCGTCATCTACAATCAAATAAATAATTAAACCAAAAACTCGAATAAAAACAGAATCTATCGATATTAATAAAGTAAGATCCATCTCCTCCTTAGATTATAATAACTACTCTATTTTGATTAGGAGAAATGATGATAGAAAAAAAAGATCATCAACTATTCAAATTAATAAAAAAAAGTGATCTTTATTAAATATTTAACTATCAAACATTTTCATTTACAAAATTTATGTAGATTTCTCCTATGTTTTTTTAATCTATATTGATTTCCCTTTACAAAATAGAGAGTTAGACTTAAAGACTCAATAATTATAATCTATTCACCTATTCCAAATATTAACTCTATGATTTTATATCTAGCAATCTTATAAAACAATCAAATTTTTAAGACTAATATTATCCATTCACCTATTTTAGAAATTTTTATAGTTCTCCAAGAAATTATTATTTATTTTATTTATTTAAAATTCCTATTATTGCCTCCATTAAATTTTCAGTATATGCTTGATAATAAATCTATCCTATCTCTTCTGGCTTAATAATTGAATTGTTCAATGATATAACTGATATTTGATGCATTATTTAGGTCATTTTATACATAATCTAATAACTAGTTATTTATTTATTATCAATCTCGCTATCCTTCAATCCTTAGGTGTAAATCCATAAAAATTTCAATTAATCAAGCCATTTTTTGTTTTATTCATATAAGATTCAATAAATTCTATATCTTCTTTATACAAATAAGATTATTTGATAAAGTCATAAATTTAAGAACATAGTGTTAAGTTCTCCAATATTTCTCTTAAGCAAGAGGAGTAAATTACTTAAATTTTTAAATTTGAAGATCTTATGCTATTTTGTTATATAATGATGAGCTATTACAAGATTTTCAAAATTGTTTTCATATGAAGGCAGCTCAAATTAAAGTTACTTTATTTGAGAATAAAGATCATTATGTATCAAAAGATAACAATAATACTCAAAACAATTTATTGTATGCAAAAAACAATCTATTCTAAACTCTTTAATATTTTAAGCCAAAAAAAGTAATTCTTAAAATTAACTTACTATAAAGAAGTATTCTTCTTTCTTATTGTAAGGACTCTCTAATATTTATAAGGGTTATTGTTTTTCAAAATGAGGTAATATTTCTTTAATTTCTAATAATGAATTCAAATATTGAGATTATACATTAAGCCTTCTGTTTTCCACATAAGAATCTAATTTATTAAATAAAACACATTGATATAAAGGTTTAACAATATTTGTAGAACCCATCCCTTTTTGAATACTTAAACATTATATAACATTTATGCTTAATCCTTATGCAATCAATCTCAATGTGTTCTTTAGATGAAATAAAAGTGTGTTAGATTTTAAATTACTTAATTCTTCCCCTATTTAGATAATCTTGTAAAATCAGAGCTTCAAATCGTATCCAATCTTAATAAACACATTAAGCATCCATTTTGGTGTGCCTTATACTTTTGACAACTTTATCTTAAATATATTGCCAGAATTAATTCTTTTCAATATTATATCAAAATCCAATCTTTTTTAATAAGGGTTATTTCTTTTATTAAGTGTTGATTGACAATAATTTTTAGAATTGTTAAACAATCAAACCAAGAGAAAATGATGTAAGATAGAATGAAGTTAAAAATGCTGTCAAATATTTATTCAATTAATGTAAGCAATCATATTTAACTCCTTTTTTCTAATAGAATACTTAATTAAAATACCATAAGTTATTTGTTAAGATTGATAGGTTTAATTTCTATATTTTCATTTTTTAATTATTGTCTAATAATACTTCTAAATTGATTTTAAAGCGAAGTTCTTATCTATTTACTAAAATCAACACTTTTATTATTCAATTCATAATATTAAAGATAATCACACATACTGTCTAACATTTTTAATAGTTCATCTTATCTTTATTATTTTAAACAAATGTCAAAATAATGTTTTGAGTGAAGANAAATTCTATATCTTCTTTATACAAATAAGATTATTTGATAAAGTCATAAATTTAAGAACATAGTGTTAAGTTCTCCAATATTTCTCTTAAGCAAGAGGAGTAAATTACTTAAATTTTTAAATTTGAAGATCTTATGCTATTTTGTTATATAATGATGAGCTATTACAAGATTTTCAAAATTGTTTTCATATGAAGGCAGCTCAAATTAAAGTTACTTTATTTGAGAATAAAGATCATTATGTATCAAAAGATAACAATAATACTCAAAACAATTTATTGTATGCAAAAAACAATCTATTCTAAACTCTTTAATATTTTAAGCCAAAAAAAGTAATTCTTAAAATTAACTTACTATAAAGAAGTATTCTTCTTTCTTATTGTAAGGACTCTCTAATATTTATAAGGGTTATTGTTTTTCAAAATGAGGTAATATTTCTTTAATTTCTAATAATGAATTCAAATATTGAGATTATACATTAAGCCTTCTGTTTTCCACATAAGAATCTAATTTATTAAATAAAACACATTGATATAAAGGTTTAACAATATTTGTAGAACCCATCCCTTTTTGAATACTTAAACATTATATAACATTTATGCTTAATCCTTATGCAATCAATCTCAATGTGTTCTTTAGATGAAATAAAAGTGTGTTAGATTTTAAATTACTTAATTCTTCCCCTATTTAGATAATCTTGTAAAATCAGAGCTTCAAATCGTATCCAATCTTAATAAACACATTAAGCATCCATTTTGGTGTGCCTTATACTTTTGACAACTTTATCTTAAATATATTGCCAGAATTAATTCTTTTCAATATTATATCAAAATCCAATCTTTTTTAATAAGGGTTATTTCTTTTATTAAGTGTTGATTGACAATAATTTTTAGAATTGTTAAACAATCAAACCAAGAGAAAATGATGTAAGATAGAATGAAGTTAAAAATGCTGTCAAATATTTATTCAATTAATGTAAGCAATCATATTTAACTCCTTTTTTCTAATAGAATACTTAATTAAAATACCATAAGTTATTTGTTAAGATTGATAGGTTTAATTTCTATATTTTCATTTTTTAATTATTGTCTAATAATACTTCTAAATTGATTTTAAAGCGAAGTTCTTATCTATTTACTAAAATCAACACTTTTATTATTCAATTCATAATATTAAAGATAATCACACATACTGTCTAACATTTTTAATAGTTCATCTTATCTTTATTATTTTAAACAAATGTCAAAATAATGTTTTGAGTGAAGAAACGATAAGAATACTCTAATTATTACTGAAATAAGGATTCTATGTATCCTCTAATATCATTAAAGCAATAATATAAGTGCATTTATTGTTTCAAATCTCTTGATTGACTCCAAACTAAGTCTTTGATTGAGATTATTTTATATAAGGACCAACTATCAGTTGTCAGTTGATCTTTATTTAATTCAGATAAGAGATCATGTATTTATTAATATTGTTATCTAAACTTGATAACATTCGATATTTTAATTTCAAGTTCTTCTTTTTATTTTTACTTCTTTTAAATTTTCAATCCTAAATCTTTATGAGTCTACTTCAATAATTTTAAAACTAATCTAGCTGGCAATTCTGGCACAACATTAATTAACTCTAAAAGATAGAGCATCTCACATATAATAACCCCAATTCAATTAATGTTGATTCTCCATTAATTTGAGTGATAGTTGTTTTTTAACTTCATTATTTTTACGAGTTAAGTTTTCAATCATAGTACCTTAAATTTCAAGAGTCGGTCTTTTGCCGATTTATGTAATCAAATAACTCAAGATTTCAGATTCATTATTGTCTATATAATACATTTCATCAATGTCTTTATCCTCAGTTATTAAAAACTATATTGTTAAACTGCTTTCATCTAAATCTTCTGATGATTATGAAACTACAGGTTTAGTTAATTGAAGATTAGTTTGTTTCCATTCAGGTTTACTAAAAATCTAAGGTTTAGTTCTTTTGACAAGAGGAAGTGGAGTCTCATCAAAGATTTTCTTCTTTTATGAATTTTAAGAATTCATTCTATCCCATATAGGAGACTTTGACTTTTAAGTGTGATGTTTTAATTCATTTTTGTAGCACTAGAATTAGCTCTAGAATGTGAAGTGAATATTTTATCTTTATATTCCTTCATTTTCTAACCAACATTATTGAGTTATTATTGAACACTTTGACTTGTAGTTGGTCTATCTTCAAAGTCAAGAAATTCATTAAATTTACTATAAATGCTATATATGTTATTCATATTAATAGACGATCTTTTGCAATCTCCCACCAAAATCCAGCACCTAGTTCAATAAGATCATCATTAAAATCAAAATTGGATTAATGTAACATCGGATTATTTGTATCACTATTAAATATATATGAATAAATTACTTTTTTCCTGAACTCAAAAAGAAGAATGCTCCTGGTACTTTAAGAGTATAATTTCCAAAATCTTCAGATGCATAAACAGGACAAGGACCAGCATGAGCGTTTCCAGCACCAAAGTATTTTTCACCTAATCTCAATATATGTTATGCTTCTTTTTAATGATTTGCAGTTAATGGATAATTTTCTGCCATTCTTTAAACTTTTACTTAACACCTATATTTCTAACAAGTTTTCTCAGCAACATTACAACACTAATTTATATTAATTTATATCTATCATACTTCTTTAAATAATCTATCTCCTAAACCTGATTCTAAAGAACGAATCATACCTTTTACTGAAGCTGTATCTGGTATAACATTAAAAGCTGTTCCACCATTAAAACATGTCCATGCAAAAGTAAATTGTCCTTTCTCTTAACTTAATTAATTATTAATAGTATAGAGATATTCAGCTGCACATTAAACAGGATTATTAAATTTATGGGGTTCTGATGCATGACCTCCTTTACCTATAAAATCAAATTGCATCTATATTGGTTAAGACATCATTGATCCTTCTTTACACCATACTTATCCAATCTTTCCTGTTGGCCATTAATGAAATCCATATACTTCTTATACATTATCTAAACATCCATCGCGTATCATATCAACAGATCCTCCATAATCTTCTTCGGCAGGTTAAAATAATAATCTAACTGTTTTATTTTTAGGTATTGTTTCTTTATAATGTTAAAAGATTTATGCAAAAGCTAAAAGACAAGTTGTATGCCCATCATGTCCACACATATGAGCACATCCATTTGTACTTCTATATTGTAAATGTTCATTAGCTTCATTCAATACTAATGCATCAATATCTGCTCTGAATGCAATTAATCTATCTTCTCCAACCTTTTCTGCATTACCACTTAGATCAACAATTAATCCTGTATTTCCACATACTTTAATAACATCTTCTTGAATATTTAAAGTAAGCAAGAATTCTCTCACTCTTTATTGAGTTTGGAATTCCTTTAAAGATGCTTCAGGATTTTAATGCATATTATGTCTAAAGGCAATAAGTCTCTGTAGATCTAATATTTATTTCATTATAAGTTTATTTATTTGATAATAGGAAGTGAGTATGTTGATTATTATAGAGATTGAATATAAATTATTAGTATGGGATTGAGAATTTAAGTATTATAATAATAGCAGCATTTGATATGAGTAGCATGTTTTAGAATTGTTTAAGGGAATAATAAATGTAGTTTAATATAAATTAAAGATTTGGAGAGTAAAAAAGATGATCGTACTTATTGAGATGGTAAGAAAAGTTAAAATAAATAAAAAGAATAAAAGAAGTGAAATATTAAATAAGAGATTATTATAAATAAATGATATATGAAATGAGACATGAGAGAAATAGGAGTGAGAATAGTAATGTAATAAAGATAAAATAGAGAAAGAGTGAAGAAGTTTAAGTGTTTAACTAGATTAATTAATCAGATAGAATGAATTCGAATAATTCCTAATTGAAACAATCTATAAATATGTCAGAGAGAAGCAGTTATTTAGGATTAGAAAATCGATTATTAGGATAAGATAGTATATCAGATAGAGAATAATTATAGAATAGAGTTTCTTAAGAGGGATTTCAAAATAATTTGGAGGATGAATAACCAATTCCTCTAATTTAATTAATTGAACATGAACTAAGAGATCGATGTAAAGTTGATACAACAAAACAAATGAAGTGTTAAGGTGATCTAAATGAATTTTAAACAAAAACAGAAATTGAGAGAATTGATTATGATGTAGATTAGGACATAATTCGTAAACATACAAAACATTTGTAAAGAGACTATAGAATTGATCCATACTATATAAAGTTAGTAGAGTTACATGGATACCAAAGAATTAAACATGAATTGGAAGTAGTCCTCTTTATTTACATATATATAGCATTACAACGATGCATATCCTTTGCTCACATTGAGAAAGACAATAGTGTACTTATCATTTATGATTCCGATATTGGCTAAGACAATCGTAAACTCAATATGGTTTGAACTATCGATGACAGTTCTTATTNAAAAGATTTATGCAAAAGCTAAAAGACAAGTTGTATGCCCATCATGTCCACACATATGAGCACATCCATTTGTACTTCTATATTGTAAATGTTCATTAGCTTCATTCAATACTAATGCATCAATATCTGCTCTGAATGCAATTAATCTATCTTCTCCAACCTTTTCTGCATTACCACTTAGATCAACAATTAATCCTGTATTTCCACATACTTTAATAACATCTTCTTGAATATTTAAAGTAAGCAAGAATTCTCTCACTCTTTATTGAGTTTGGAATTCCTTTAAAGATGCTTCAGGATTTTAATGCATATTATGTCTAAAGGCAATAAGTCTCTGTAGATCTAATATTTATTTCATTATAAGTTTATTTATTTGATAATAGGAAGTGAGTATGTTGATTATTATAGAGATTGAATATAAATTATTAGTATGGGATTGAGAATTTAAGTATTATAATAATAGCAGCATTTGATATGAGTAGCATGTTTTAGAATTGTTTAAGGGAATAATAAATGTAGTTTAATATAAATTAAAGATTTGGAGAGTAAAAAAGATGATCGTACTTATTGAGATGGTAAGAAAAGTTAAAATAAATAAAAAGAATAAAAGAAGTGAAATATTAAATAAGAGATTATTATAAATAAATGATATATGAAATGAGACATGAGAGAAATAGGAGTGAGAATAGTAATGTAATAAAGATAAAATAGAGAAAGAGTGAAGAAGTTTAAGTGTTTAACTAGATTAATTAATCAGATAGAATGAATTCGAATAATTCCTAATTGAAACAATCTATAAATATGTCAGAGAGAAGCAGTTATTTAGGATTAGAAAATCGATTATTAGGATAAGATAGTATATCAGATAGAGAATAATTATAGAATAGAGTTTCTTAAGAGGGATTTCAAAATAATTTGGAGGATGAATAACCAATTCCTCTAATTTAATTAATTGAACATGAACTAAGAGATCGATGTAAAGTTGATACAACAAAACAAATGAAGTGTTAAGGTGATCTAAATGAATTTTAAACAAAAACAGAAATTGAGAGAATTGATTATGATGTAGATTAGGACATAATTCGTAAACATACAAAACATTTGTAAAGAGACTATAGAATTGATCCATACTATATAAAGTTAGTAGAGTTACATGGATACCAAAGAATTAAACATGAATTGGAAGTAGTCCTCTTTATTTACATATATATAGCATTACAACGATGCATATCCTTTGCTCACATTGAGAAAGACAATAGTGTACTTATCATTTATGATTCCGATATTGGCTAAGACAATCGTAAACTCAATATGGTTTGAACTATCGATGACAGTTCTTATTCTTTTTAATATTGTTTTGTACATTATAGTTAAGACTGAACATAGAGAAGACACAGATTAAATAGAATAAATAATAACAATCCTCTTTTTTACAGAAATTGGATTAAGAATAATATCTCAAGGATTTTTGTTCTCTAAAAATGCCTACTTTGTTAATTTTTCAAATCTTTTTGATTTTTCAATAGTTCTCTTATCAGCACTTAATTTATATCGTCCTGATATAGTAATAATAGATTTATCACCATTAAGAATTATAACTCTTCTATAATATCTTGGAGATATCTTTGATGGATTGAGAGTAATGCTTACAGCTTTAAGGTAATCAATCAAATACATTTTGGAGGCCTTGGCTATAGTGGGATTATTTTCCCTTTTCTTTGCCTTGGCTGGACTCTATTTATTTTAAGGTCTATTTAATTATAGATGTTTACCTCTTAATGAAGACCCTGGGGATAGTTGGATTTAATGTAATGTGGATTAATGTCCAGAATAAATGATCTGTTCTTATGTTCCATATACTGTCAAAGTTCCTACTTCTTTTAATAATATTATCTATTCATATGGATAGATATTGAGAACTATTACTATGGATGATTGGAGTTGGGTTATGTTTTATACTATACGTATCTTTAGTCCTTGGGTTTGGATCTATTATCTATTAATTATCTTTGTAGGAGGTTTCTTTGGCTTCAATTTAGTTATTGCTGTTCTCAAAACTCATTATGCTGAAGCTGCTGAAGAATTCTCTCATTAATAAGAATAATTAGAAATTAATCAATAACTTTTAGAATCGTTAAATTATAATCAAAATTAAATTAGAGATACAACCAATATTTTTGATCTTGCACTCCTTAAAGACATAGGATTTTATTCAGCTTTTTAATAATATTACAAATTATTAAGTTCCAATAAACATATTTCTTCCTACAGATTATAAGATTCCCAAAATAAAAATTCCACTTAACCCCGTCTACTCTCTGCAAAGCAACGAAATAATAATGATACTAATGTAAATTCATCTTCTTTATTTCTTCTAGATGAATTTCATCCATTAACTTATTTTGTTCTTAAGAAGACTTACACTTAAAAATATACTCTTAACCAAGTTCTCCAAGCTTACCAAACAATAAGAACTTATCAATCTCAAAAATTACACTGAAAATGAAGATTATCTAAAAATCTTAGAAGACCTAATGAAATTCGACTTCGCCTAACTCTCTAAGTAACTCAACCCTAATCAATATTAAAAATACTCCAGTCTTGAAGATGTTATACCTTCCTTTACGTATTATTTTTCTTTTATATAGTAATACTCTAAATCTTAAGGAACACTTTGACGATAAAGTTATTGACTTCAATAAATATACATACTCTTTCTAATATGCAATACCCTTATCAAATTCATTCCATGATCAAATCTTTAAATCTAACAATATATCCAGTAGTTTCAAATATCCTATAAAAAAATCATTTCGAGCTTAAAAACGCATCGTCTAAGAAATTTGTTCTCAAAATTCAACCACTAGAAAACCATGTATTAGAATGGAAAAAAAAAAATATCAGGGTATTACAAAAAAAAAGGATAAACCTAAAAATACAAATTCATTTGTTTAAAAAAAAGGAGATGTTATTATTTCTTTATTTATATAAGGGTAATATTAAAATTATGATGAGATCCTATTTAAATTAAAATAAAAAATATAAAAAGAGAAAGTTAAATATTATTGTCCAGAATAAGAGTACAAAAATATAAGAATTAAAGATATGAAAAATAAATTAATATCTGATTTAAATTGGTCTGGAAATGATGTAATTGAATCAAAATATTCAAGTATCAATTTCAGAAGTTTATTGATATCTATGAACAAAGTTGATTTAGTTATATGGGTAAGAGGAATTTTTGGAAAAATTTTGATTATAAGAAAATATGTAAGTAGAATGGTTTGTAGTAAAATAACGGAGATAGCTTTGGATCTGTTAATTTTAATAAACTTCACATTTTTATCGTTATATGGAATAGTAGATTCTTCAATAATATCGTAAGTTGAAGATGTTACTACAATTATACTTTCAATGGAAACATTTATAAGATATTGCAGTATTTCATTAAAAGAATTATCGAATAATAATGAAAGCATTTTGTAAACAATGATAGTTATATTAAATTTGATAGAATTCACAATGAGTGATTATATGAATTATCTAACAGAATAAAACTTAAGGTTGATAAGGGGAACAAAATGTATTTTATTTTATCGATGTTTAAAATACAATAGTATGGCAGTAACAATAGGGCACATAGCATCAACAACATTTAAACAATATATATATTTAACATTTTTGATGTTCATAGTAATATTCTTATATGCTTTAGTTGGAATGGAAGTGTATGCAGGCAGATTTGATTAGAATGATGTTTTAGGATAATTACATTCTTATAATAATGTATTGAAATCATTTATGACTGTATTTAATATAATGACAAATGATGATTGGTATGGAGTATTTGTATTGGGAACAGACATAAATGAAACATTTGCTGTAGTATATTCTTATTCAATGGTGATTATTTTAAATTATTTAACATATGGATTAGTTTTAGCCATTCTTTTAGATGGATTTGGTAAATATTTGGATAGACAAATCTTTTCTGAAATAGAGGAGAATGAGGTTTCTAAGATAATAACTTAAAATACAGATTAACTTGAAACTTAACATACATAATAATTATCAGAAATAAATAATTTGAAATCACTTCCAAATATTTAATTATAAAAAAGCAATACTAAATAAAAGATAGCTTTAATATAACATTTAATAAATTCAATTAGATAAATTTATCAAAAAATCCAAGATGAAAAACCAGATCTTTATAATGGTGTAAGTTGTGAATAATCTTTATTCTTTTTTGATAAGACAAATCATCTGAGAAAATTATGTATGTTATTAGCTAGATCCAGATTCTATATTTTAATAAATGATTTATCCTTGGTATCTTCAATAGTTATTTTTATTATACAAACTTATAATGATTATGAGCAAGATAAAGAAACATATCCTTAAGTGGCTCAATTTTACATTAATCTCATATTAGCTACCGATTATGCAATTAATGTTATTGCTAAAGGATTATTTATAGATAATGGAGCCTATTTTAATTCTGTTTGGCAGATTTTAGATGTTATATATATAACTACATTCTTTATCCAATATGATACAAAAGACTATGTAAAACCAATATTTGAGATCCTACTATATACAGGATATTTTAGGCCTTTTAATTTATTAAATAGAATCACACTTTTAAATGTATTAAGTTCAGCTCTTTATAAATCATTAGTTGATATTTTAAATGTATTATTAACTCTTTTTTCAGTTTGGATAATCTTTGGAGTTTATGGTATCATTCTATATGAAAGACAATTTGGATTTTGTGAAGATAAAATGTAATTTCGTGTTAGTTATTAAGAATGTATTGAATAGAATAGAACTTGGGTTAATTTTAAACATAATTTTGATAATATTACTATGGCTATTCCTACACTATTTACTGTTTCTACATTCGATGGATGGGGAGAAATGTTATAAATTGCTTAAAATAGTGATTACTAAAATATTGGTCCACTTCCATTTAATAGTTATATACATACTTATGTGTTTTTTATTTCATTTTGCTTTGTTGGTTCTATGTTTTTTTTAAGTTTATTTACAGGAGTATTATTTTCCAATTTAAAACTAAATTAAAGAAAGATTGAAAAAAAAGATTTCAATCAAAATTAAAAAGAATTTATAGAAATTGCAGATATTATAACTAAAGATATACCTGTGTTTTCTACACCACCAGATAATGTAATCCGACGGTTTGCTTCAATTATTATGAATGATAATATTATGTAGACTATCTTCTTTATTATTTTACTTCTTGATGTAGTTAATAACATTTTATTTCACTCAGAAATGACTACAAGTTATTTAGTTATAATAAACTACATTCATCATGGTTTTTCAATTGTCATAATCATTTGGGGTTTAATTCAATATTTGGCTTTAGGATTATTAAGATTTTTCGATAATTATTGGAGATAATTCCTTTTTATTTTAATTTTTTTTGCAATAGTAGATCTTGTAGCTGATTTGGAATATGGATGGGTTGAAATATATTTTAAATCTAGTCCTTTAACAGCTTATTTTAGGTTATATAGGATATGTTTTGTTTTAAGAAGCTTGAGATTGATTCTAATTTTTTAAGGATTGATAAATATATAGAGATTAATGAGAGTAATGGTTTATGCACTTCCATTTTTAGCAAAAATATTCTTTATTTTAATAGACACAATGCTTGTTTTTGCTTTATTTGGTTGTTAATTATATGGTCAATTAGATTCAGGATAAGTGATGGATGAATAAATAAATTTTCATAACATTGCATAAGCTATGCTTACTTTATTTAAATGTGCTTCTGGGGATGATTGGAGAACAATAATGACTGATACAATGCATCATAATCCTAATTGTTCAAATGATCCATAATATTGTGGATCAACATATAGTTAGATTTATTTCTTTCTTTTTATGTTATTATCAAATTATGTGTTTTTAAATTTATTTGTTTTAGGATTGATTGAATAATTTGAATCCTTTTTTTAAGTTTAGAATTCAATAATATAAACATATGTAGAAAATGAAGATAGAATTAAAACTATATGGTGTAAGTACTCTCCTGAGACATAAGGAAAGGCAATGCATTATAAATTTTTATGTAGATTTCTTATGGATTTGGGTGCTCCTTTAGGTAGAGGTAAAGAAGAGAATTTATGGGATGCTGCAAAATAAGCAAGTGCTTTTAAATTGAAATGGTATTTCTTGATTATTATTTTAGTGATCATCGAGGTTATATATAATATAATTAATTGATTTATGAATTATTTAGAACATGTTTTTAAGAGGATGTTTTTAAAACAGGGAGTAAGAATGGTATAAAATAAATAAAACAATACAATAAAGAGATGCAAATGAAGTTTATGAATTATAGAAGAAATCTTTTTATAAAGAGATCAAATATTTGTTTAGTTGATTTGAGAACAAACTTTAATATTTTACATGATTATTTAAATGTACTAATTGCGTTTAAAGCTTGGGAATCTCATTCAAAAAAACTTATTAAACGAGTCAATTGTAAGAATAGAGAGTATTCAGAAAATATGGAATCTTCAAAAGAATAATAAGATGATTAAGTGTAATGATTATTAATCTATTTTAGGTTGCAATAGTGTTAAAACACTATCATTAATGATATTAATCAAGTGAGAAATTCAATATAGATTAATGACACAGATAGATTTTAACCTATGATTACTGATGAAAATTAAACTAAACATCTTCTTACTAGTTTGAGTTAAGAATCTATGTAGGCACCATAATTACCATGTTATAATCATTAAAAGCCATAATATTCTAAAAATCTATTTATTTATTAACCAAAAAGAAGTTGAGAAATAATTTTTGATAAATTTAGTTTTTTGTAATTAGCTATTTTAAATCTTATATTGATTTCAATAAATTAGAATAATTATTTTAGATAAAAAAAATGAGTGAAAATTAAAAATCAAAGCAAATATCTTGTTGTTAAAGAATTACAGAAATTTTTAAAAGACCAAGTAAAATTATACAATCTTAACCAATACAATCTCAGCAAGATCAGCAAGAATAGTAAGTTATATAAGGAAATTAAAATTAAAATGATTGGTTGATGATTGAAGAATAGTTTCTCAATAAAATTTCTTCAGCAGGTAGAAGATAAATGTTCTATGATCTTTTTTAGAAAACTGGAATTAAAACAATTGAATTATTAATTCTCTCATTTAAAAATTCTAATACTAGTTTTATTGGTAAACGATGTATTTAAGCTGAATTATTAATCCTTCGAAATATGTATGAAAGATTTAATTAATAACCTAAAGAACTATAATGGACTTTTGCTAGTGCTACATTAATATCTGATAATGATATTTAAATATAATAATAATCTAATGCTAGAATTAAAAATATATTATTAGTAGGAATAACAGGATAAGGAAAAACTACTTTAATAAATAGTTTTTATAATCATATTTCAAAAATCACTTTGGACTCTAATTTACGTTATTTGGTGATAGATGATAATGAATAAAACAGAGAAGGGAAATCAGTTACAAGAGAAGTAAATTAATACAAAATCAAAATAAAAGATGACTTAATTTTTAATTTTATAGATACACCAGGATTAGGTGATACTGAAGGATATTCTAGAGATTAAGAAATTATAGATTAAATTTCTAAGTAAATTAAAAAGATGAAAGATAAGAATCAAATTATTCATCAAGTTATTATTGTCTCTCAATTATCAACAAATTATGTTGTAGAAAATACCCCTACTCTATAATAATTAGCCCTTCTTAATGTTTTAAAACTCTTTGGAATTGATATGGCTTAACATTATATTCATGCTCTGACATTTTCAGATTTCACTACTATTCATAGAAATAACTTTGAAAATCCAAACTCTATCTTCTTTGTTTTAACTTAAAGAGATTAACTTTTATTAACAAGAAACTTCTAATAATTAAACTAAAAAAGTAATAATCTATTAACATAAAGCCCAACTAATTCTGAAACGGCTGTTTTATTAAGCAATAATTAATTAAATGAAAATAATAAAGAATTTTGTTAATTTTAAAATTCTGTTTATTATTAAAATCTATCTAATTAGATTTCATTAATTTAGTTTAGAAAAAATACGGAAAATTATATTAAATTTATTGAAAAAATAAGTTTTAGCGAAGGATTTTAATTAGATACAACTATTTAAGTTATTGAAGAAAGAATTAGATTAAAAAATTAAATTGAAATTTTGGGATAAGAACTTTAATTAAGAGTAAGAATTGATTAACTTATATAATCCAATAAAAGAAAAATTGAAAATTATTAGTCAATAGCTTAAGAGAATTAAAATTTTTCCTACATTGAATTTGAACCAATTAAGAGAATAAAGTAATGTTCATAAAACATTTATATGACTAATTGTTAAGATTGTAAAAAGACTTGTCATAAAAATTGTTCAGTATCCAATCAGAATTTAATAAATTGTAACATGATGATTAGATTATCCTCAGGTAATTATGTATGCGAATCTTGTTAACATACTGTTGAAAAGCATCTGTAATAAAATTTATTTATTTAGAAATGAAAATATTTAATACATTCAAGAAGTTATAGAAGTAGAAAGATTTTATGATGATATGAGAAATGAACATAATTAGGCAATAACAATGACTTAAAAATTAGAATAAATATTGTAAGAATAAATTTAGAGAGAAATTGATAATGATGCAAGAATTATTCTCATTTTAGATGATTTAAAAAATTGTTTCAATTATCTCTTCTCTTCAGCTTTATACAAACTAGATTTAAGAGAAAAATCCTTAAAGGACTTTTTATATAAATATTTTAAAAGCTTTGAAAATTAATTAGAAAAATATTTTCGGGAAAGCATAGACATTTTTGCTACAAGAAGATTAGTAGAAAATCAACAATTAAATCAATAAAATACTATGTTTAGATTAAGAACAGAAAATTTTTAAAGAATTGAATGATTTATAAAATAAAACATTCAATTATAATATTATTTATTATTAGTGTCACTTCTTTTTAAATTTTATAAAAGATTCTTAAGCTAAATATCATAATATAGAATTTATCAAAATAAATGATTCTAAGCAATTGAAATTATGAAATTTATCATTTAAATTTAGTTTGCTTCTACTCATTTATTTTATTTTTGATTAATTTACTACAAAAATCATCATAATCAACTATTAATTTTAATCAATTTATATATATATATATAAATATTAGTATTTTGTCAGTTATATGATAAAAAATAATAATATTTTCTTTCTTTTTATTGATTCTTTTTCAATAGTTAGTTTTAAATATTGATTTTAAATTGTAATGGATTAAACTAAGAAATTCATGAATATAATATATAAATAATAATTTATCAGACTTTTGATTTGTTTGATATATTATTCTAAATTACTAAAATCTATGCAGCAAAAATCAATCAATTAAATACATAGAAAGTTTAAATTTCCTGAAATTGAAGGTTCAAATAGATCAAATCGTTCTAGAGGTTCCCCAACATCAAGTAGAAATAATACAAGTTAAGAGAGAGATTAATCTATTGATGGTGGAAATTCAATATAAGTCTTTAAAATAAGGAATCTTCAAGTATAATAAAGAAGTGAAACTCCAAATGAAGATAAAGTATTCAATATGAGCAAGAGTACTCGTCTCAAAAGTAGATAAGAGCCAAATGAAGATTATACTGAACATAATTAATAGGAATTAGTTTTGCCAAAAATTTATTCACCAATCATAACTCCACGAAAAAATATTGTTTCAAAAATGAAAGATTCATTATTCAAACCACTTTTAAGTAGATAAGAAACTATTGATCATCTAATAAATATCAAATTATAAAACAAAATTCATGATTAATTAAAAAAAGGAGTTAATATTAAATGTCTATATCTATCAGAAAGAACAGATATGTAAATTAACAAGATAATTGTTTTGAATTTTGATAGTAATTTTGCCTCATATAAAAGGTTTGTTGCTTGGGAAAAGAAAATCTTTTTGGGAATATTAGAATGAAATAACAATGTGTTCTTAGATTATAGGATCAAAATGTGATAATTCGTATTGTGCTTGTGCAATATAAAAGGAATTAAAATATACATTATCTATGTAAAAAATAATTTATATATATATATAGACTATCAAAACAATTTTATATCGTGTTACTTTTTGAAAGTGGAATAAGAGGTAAAGTTTGGTAATAATTTTTGATTGAAAATGGATTTTCTATCGATGCAATTTATAGTTTATCTAAAATAAGATTGGCTGGTGGAGGAATTAAAATGAAATAAATTATTACTAATTTTGGAACTTCTGATATCACATAGCTATTATATTTTGGATCTATTGATTGTCAATCTTAATATGTCAAGATTCCTAAAGAGTAATTTCATTATCAAATTCCTATTTTATAAGCTAAAATAAACATATAAATGTACTTGTTTTAATTACAAAAATCAAAATTTTTAGATTCTAAATTATTATTTGAAATTTGTATGCTGAATTGCAATAAATCTGAAAATTTTAATTATAAAAGACCAATTACTGTTGTCAATTATGATCTTGAACCTATAATAAAATAAATGATTTAAAATGAAGAAGATAATCATATTTAAAATCATATTTTTTAAAATTTGTATATATAAATTTATATATTAAATAGAAAAGTAGAAGAAGATATAGTCTAAGCAATAGAAGAAGAACAGGAAGAAGTAAATGATTAAAAAAATGTTTTACTAATTTGGTTATATTAATCAAAAAAATTACTATTGGATTATTTTAAAAGTATAAATAAAGAAGACTAAACACAAAATCCAATTAGTATGATTGGAGATGTTTTAAGAAGAAATTCATCAATTTACTGGAATTATATTACTGAAGATTATGAGAAATAAGCAAAGAGATATTAATAATATTTAGAATTAAAAGCTTCAACAACAGCAAAAACTATTTTTAGAAAATAAATTTAAATTGATTGTTAAATTATTTATGATTGAATTAACATTACTTCAATAGTATATTTAAATTAATTTAAAAAATCTTATAATAAATCTTAATTTAAAACATTAAGAAAAGTATTAAACCAATATTTATTAATGAAATAAATAGAAAAAATAATCAAAACTTTTTTGTTTAACTTTTAATTAGAGATCTAGATTCTTATTTTTATAAAATTTATAGATTTTATTTAGCTAATTATTTCAACATTGATTAAAATAGTATCCCTTTCATATTACAAGGGAGAGATTCTTATTTTTCACTATGTAATCTTCTAAAATGTTAAGTTTATGGAGAACTATGTTAATTTATTTTATTCAATAATTAATTTATTTCTTTATCATTTCTATCAGTCAAACTTCCTATTTCATGAACTGAAAATTTCTTAGAAAAAGCCTTATCATCAGATTTATTTTTTTTATGTTATTTCTTTTCAAGTAAATCATTTATAAAACTAGGTTTTTATTTATTATTTAAATTAAGAACTTTTTCTTAATTTGAATTTTATTTTATATGATTAGAATTTTTTTATTTTTAAATATTTTATTTTTTATTAAATAGATTCTTTGCAAATAATCCAAGTTAATTATTTTTTTGAGGTGAATTTGTAGTTTTAAGTTTTTAATTTAAAAAAAAATCATCTTTCTTTTATTTAGAAATAGTCAATTTTTTATAGTTAATAGAAGGACTATTTCTATTTGATTATGAACCAAAAAAAGCATTTGTAGTAGATAAAGGTCTATGTGTAATAGCACCATTTTTTAATTTTGATTATTATTCTGCTTCTTCAAGTAATAATTTATTAATTAAATTATTTTTTTGATTATTTTATAATTATATAATGGGCTATTATTATTGTTTTAAAAATGTAGAACCTATAGATTTCTTATGTAAAGAAAGAGTAGGAGAATTTTAATTAAAATCACCAATGAATTTATTAATTTTAAGTTAATTTTTATTAACTAAAGTTTTAGATTTAAGTTTAACTATTTCTTATGGTTTATCATCTAATTTAGTTCCACTTTCAATAATATCAGTTGATGCTTGTCTATTAGATTTTTTTGATATATTATTAAATTAATCTTTAACAAAATTATTCCTCATTTCAATAATTGAACCTATACTATATTTAGTATTATTTTTTTAATGAATACTATTACTTTTATTATCCTTTTATTAAATTTTAGCTTTTTAATTCATAATCAATTCTTAAATAAATAATTCTTTTGATTATCTAGTTGTAATAGATGTTTTTTAACTTATGCTGGCTTTATTTCCAATATATTATAGAAAATTATTTAAGGATACTTAATCTTAATTAGAAAATTTAACTATTGACAAAGATGATTATTCTGCTCCAGAACCAATATATTTGCATAATTGATTAATTGTTTGAGAGGCTTCTTTACATTATGTTTTGTCATGCTAAATGTAGTTATATGGTAAAGTCTTACTTTTAACCAACTCAATTCTTTTAATATTTAAATATTTTTAATATTCTAATCCTCTTTTTCATCTTTTTCTTAAGTTATAGATTCTTATGAATTTGCAGGAGAAGGTCGTTCACCTACAATCCCTTTAGGTGGTTTATTTGGATTCTATTTATTCTCTTCTTCAATCATTTTAGCAATCCTAAAATAATCATACTTTCTTTTCTTATCATAATATTTATTTAATATAGAACATATTGGCTCTTTGAATATTCGTGCAATATCTATATGAAACTATTTCACATCAATGATATACTTTATAATATTCTGTAAGTAACTATATTTTTTGACAAAATTCCTTCAATTAATAATATCTCTTAAGATATTCTTCCTAATTATATTTATTAGTTTATATACATCCTCATCTATCGCCATTTAATCTTTAAAATTTATCACTATTTTTGTTTAACCATCACTTAATATCTCATTAATATCTCTTATGTAATAGTAATTTTATGATTCTTGATATCTTTCATACAATTTATAATTCATAACTCCTATTGGTTTTCTAACTACTAATGGTAACGATTGTCTTTTCTCATCTAATTTAAATTTCTAATTCATATTGTTAATTAATTATAATTATATAAAAAACAAAACATTTATTTATTCAGTTATGCTCAATTTTATAGCTAATCATTTAAATTATTATCATCCATCTCAGAAACAATAATCTATTAACTTTTCAATTAATTTATTACCTTCCATATATATAACTA